CTTACTAGTTCATTTGCTATGGTAAGATGTGTTCAGGGGCTCCCTGTTTTTAAGAAGACTTTTTAAAAAGCCTAATGTTTTTATCTTGAATCAATACAATCAGGTATTTTGGATTTACTTTTCATCTTAAATAGAAATACTGCGTTTTTATAGCTTCTCAGAACATGTGGATGGGATGGGATCTTCATTCTCTGCTGGGTCAGCTTGTCTATAAACCAAAGTCCCTAATAAGTGTAACTAATTTATATTTTAATAACAGTGTAAGTTTCTATTAAGTAAGCCATCCTGAAGCTTTGTTTAGCTGTTCATGATTTTAATTGACTAAAATTATGAGGAAGCAAAACTTTCGCTCTAAAGATTATTTAGCAAGCTTTTACCTCACAAGATGAACTGGATGTGGGTAGAGAATGTGATTACTAGAAAAAAAAAGTGAAACCAGGCTTGGTGGCTTACATTTGTTACCCCAGCACTTGGGAAGCTGAGGCAGGAAGACCTGGAGTTTGAATTCAGCTTGGGCTCATAATTAATTGGGACCAGCCTGGGAGACCCTGCCTTAAAAAGAGTGACTTTAACTCTATGGTACAAATCATTTTAAAGCTGAAGAGCTCATTTGGAAGCGTGTGCTAGTTCCCTCAGTGCTGAAAATCCACATCTGATTTCCAAGCATTGGTATTGAGCTTTCATGGTGTGTGGCATGTCCTGTGATCCAGAAACTAACCAGAACTGTGGGGTGAGGAATTGGAAAAATATAAAACCACACATGGATTTTTAAATTCAACCATCAAAAAAATATGCACTATCAAAAAATATTCATGTGAAATTCTGACAGTTTGTTTAAAGTTTGCAGTGTAATTATCAAGTAAAAACTGAGGTCCTTTGTGCTCTCTTTCATATAAGGAGAGAGTTTCAGTCTGTGTTCTGTGAAGCCAGAGGGCTCCTGAGAGGTGCCTGAGGAGCAGGGGTCAAGGAGGCGCAGAGGGGCAGGAAGGCCTTGCTGGTGGTTGCACAGGAGCCTTGAGCCGCTGCCCGGCCCCATGCGCAGAGCGGCAGCTGTCTTTGTCGTTTCTGTATTGGAATTCTAAGTAAGCTTTCATGTGGTAGGTGGGATGGGTGTGGAATGGGTAGGACAAAGGGCAGGAGGACTTTGCTGCTTTTTTTTTTTTTTTTTTTTAAGTTGAGAACTACTTTTGTAGTTTCTAAGTATTTTAATGTAGTTTGGCCAAATTGGACAAATTGGACCACTACACAAGTAAGCTAGTCATACTTACAACTGTGCAGTGGTGACAAGCGTACACCTACTTTCTTCTTCCTAAACACTTTGTGGTTTTCCTACTGCATTCTTAGTTGTACTGAAGATTTTGAAATGTACAGAAAAGCATGCTTCAGATTTTGTGTTATCACCTTGTTGGTTGCAGGTCCATCTCTGTTCTATAGTAAAGCACTAGTACAGTGTGTAATTGTGCCTACTCTGAAAATCTTTCAGTACAAAGTAAGTACACGCTGAACACTGTAGAAACCATAACCAATAGGGATGCAGAAATAATGAAATGCTGCTATCCATTGTTTCAGCGTGCAGTGTGAAGCAGACAGACACCATCGCTTTCTGAGTGCCTTCGACTTTACAGTAATGACTTAACAGAGCTTTAAAAGAAAGAACGAATGCTACATACGCCTGTGGTGTCACCAACACGATATTTGAAAGCATGAATTCGATTTCAGCCTCAAAACTGTTCCCCAGTACTCCCAATAGGTGCTAAGCAAACAAACCCCCAATGTCATTGACTTGCACCTCTTGTTTAATGTGAATATTTATATTTCCACATGTCACTCTTACCTGGGTTTTTTCTCACCCTTCCTCTAGCTGTGTTATTTCAGAGATGTGATGTCACCTTACCCTATTATCCCATCATGAATGCTTAGTTATGGACAGCAATTACTTCGTAGAGCTCATATGCACTACAGAGTGAGTTCTCAGTCAGAGGGCCTTAATTCTTGGTGTAGAGTTTTAAAATAGTGTTGTTTAGAGTGTACATTTTGTTTTGCACAGAGTTTGTTGGATATTTTTACCAAGTCTTTTTTTTTTTTTTTTCCTTTCTTGCATTTACAGTTGAGAGAACAAGTTTCTCTTAACTACGATGAATTTGTTTTACTTTACAACACTAAATCGCCTTGGAGCTTCTGGTGCATTGGGCTGATGGCACTGGTGCTCTAGCTTCTTCAGTTTGCTGGAGCAGCTGCTTTTGCTTGCCTCTAAACTGCAGCTTCCTGTCAACGGGTGCCACTCGTGGTATTTAACGGTCATGTTAGGAAGATGATTGTACCAAATGCTGAGTTGTTTCATTTCTAGATGTAATTAGTTCACTTTATGTAATAGTCTTTGTTTTCTCAAACTGACTTTAAAAACACAAAGTTTTATCATTTTTGTTGGATTTGTATTTATTACAGAGTGCTTTAGCTTTGATATTCTTTGTATTTTCACTCAGTTCTTACATGAGCTTTATCAATAACATCTGTATAGATGGTTTTTAAAAATTAACTATGTATGTGCCCATGCCGAAGTTGAGCAATAAAATGAATGCTGTTTGCACTGCCACAGCATCCAAGTTTTTGAAGAATATTGAGTTCGTAATGAATTTTTTCGAAAAAAATTATGATTGGTTCTTCAAAGGACGACAGCATGAGTTATTAAAGGAGAAGAATACACACCTTCCTTCCCACTGCAGAGCTTCAGAAAGCTCAGGCAGAGCAGAAAGGTGCTGTTTTATCCTGCCATGGCAGCCTGGTGCTGTGTATGTGTGATTTTTGAGACTGGTCTGGGTTCATTGAGGAAGTGATATGGTCCTGAAACCAATCTGTAACCAGATCTGTCAGGTCTGGAGGAAGGAGCCTCACATTTGCCAGCCTGCCTTGGTGTTGAGCAGGAAAATCCTCAAAATGAAATGGAGAGAAGCATGGACTTTTTAAGGTTTATGACTCAAAACTTTGCAAGTGCTAGTGGATGAAAGTCCAGCTAAATACATAGGTGGAGGAGGCATGCGTGTGGTTTATTCTTCATCCATCCAGAATGTGGTCTGTGTGAGTCTCCACACAGCGTAGGCTACAACAGAACCAGATGTCTGAGAATTGCAGTGGAAGTAGCAGTGGTGTGTCCTAAGGTGAGCACACTGTACTTTTTAATATTCTTTTTATCTCACATTGCCATGTTTATTGGTTTTATCTAAAATATGTAAAGTTTTAGTACATTAAGGTTCTGGGTATTATAATAGTCCACAGATTATCCAAAAATTTATTTGGCTATCGTGTTTGGCAGTTTTTCTGTTGTGTGGCAGCCCTGAAGTTTGTCCCTGTGTTACTTATAAAGGTTAACCATGTTCAACACAACCTTTCTTTCTTTATGCTTTCTATGCCAGATTCTTGCAATGGGATAATCCAGCAGGGTGACAGGAACTTTGGAATAGGATAGATAGGGAAATTACACACAGGCCTACCTCCCAATGTTAACACCTTTAGCAAACCAGACAAACCAGTCTAAATTTTATTTAAAAGGTATTGCCCTGCCAAGGGTAGTGGTACACACCTGTAATCCCGACACTCCAGAGGCTGAGGCAGAAGAATCATGGTGAGTTCAAGGTCAACTACAGCTACACAGTGAAACCCTGGCTCAAAACCAAACATCAACAAATATTTACTTAAAAAAAAAAAAAAAAAGCAAGCTGGTGTTGTGGTTCAAGCAGTAAGCGCCTGCTTAGCAAACATGAGGCCCTGAGTTCAAACCTTGGTGCCGTAAAAAAAAAAAAAAAAAAAAAAAAAAAGAAAGAAAAGCTGGACATGGTGGTATACATCTGTAATCCCAGCATTCAGGAGGCTGAGGCAGGAGGAAGACATCAAGTTTGAGGCTAGCCTGGGTTAAGTATCAAAACTCTGTCTCCAATAAGACAAAACCAAAACTTACTGTACTTCTGGGTGCCAGGCTCTCACTAGCTGCTAGGCCCATAGCTTCCATGGTGTTGAAAAACTGAACTGGAAAGGTAATGCTTATACTTTGTCTTAGTAAAGCCCAAATTAAAACAAGATACTCAAAACAAAAACAAAAAACCAAGGTATTGAAAACTCAATTTGCATATAGCAAAGAAGTTGGTTATGGTGGAAGCACTTGAATAAAGACCCCACCTCAGCAGATCTACAAGTCCTAGATGAAAAAGACAAAAAATTGGTTTTGCTCCAGGAGCAAAGGGATCTTTGCCTGATGGCCTAACCTGCTGTCAGTCAGCTGCCATTCCAAGAGCGTAGCCCTTGGGACCAGAGCAGTTGATGGCAGCTGCCTAGTCTTTCCAAGACTGTCAGATCTACCCCCTTCTGCTTCTCACCACTCATAAGCTCCTCCTGGTGCTACTGTGGAATGCCCTTCTGAGAGCCTCCTCCTGTTGTGGTACCCTCTGCTCATCCCTGCTTTGGTGAGCAAGGGCCCCACGTCCTCAATTGCTCTCAAGCTTTCTTCTAGCTCCTGGCCTTCACTGAAGCTTCCTCACCATGGCAGACCCCTCTCCTGAGCAGCCTGGGCTATCTTTTCTTATATTCCCCATGTCAGAGGTGGAGTTGGTGTACTCTCGCCCACTGTCATCACTAGTGCTCCTTTAGAGTACACACCCTCTGGCCTCAGACCCTTTGCCTCCTCCTCCTCCTCCCTGCTGTCTTACTCCACCCCATCGAAGCCACAATGAACAAATTTATCTTCCAAAGGTCATGTAGTAACAAACCACATACATTATGCAGCCAAGGTTCAACCCTAAAGCCCACCTCTGATGACCAATCCACATTTCTAGCTTTTCTCTGAATTAGATTTTTCTTTTGGTCCTCAAGTGTCTTTGTTTTGTTAAATACACACTATTTTTGTTGACTTACAGCAATAGGCTTCAGGAGCTGGCTGCTCAATCAAGACTTGTTCATTGCTTTAGCACAAATACGACTAACATTATGTCCCTTTTCCAGGTTTTAGCCATAAATTCAAAAGCAAAAAGCTTTAAGAAAAAATTTTATTTAAAAAAATTCTAAGTATTAGAGTAAACACACAAGGCATTTAAAAAATGATTTTCCCAGTTTGTTTACTGGCTCAGTTCTAGCACTGTCCTGGTAAAGGCCTCAGAGACTTCACCTGTGAGGTCTGGCCTCATGGGTAGGGATTTTTACTGTACTGAAGGGAAGCCAGCTGAAGCCGAGCTCTGAAGCGCTCAGCTTCCAGTTCCCTGAAGAAAGCGTCGTCATCGTTCTGCGTTATCATGTGTTGTAGTTGGTGAATTTCCTTTTCCATCTTAGACCGTAGCTCCCTCTTCACCTTGTGTAATGTCTAGAAGAGAATCCACAGCATCCTGTTACTCACATGTATCCAGGCCCTCTCCACCTTCCAGCTCCTCAAACTCCTCCGGTAATTTTAATAACTTAGCAGCAGCTCTTATGGAGCTCTGAATAAAGTCACAGTCATAGGGTAAATGTCTCGTAGATGGATATTCTTATTAGTACTCTTTCCATTCCTTTAAAAGATATAATAAATATAGATATTTCCTAAAAATGTAAATATATCCTGTTATTACCTGGGCCTGGGATTTCTCTCTGGCTTTGAGTTCCTCACGTTCCTGTGATATGGCTTCTGCCAGCAATGAAAACTTTATAGGGAAGAAAAAAACAAATCTTGTATTTAATATTTACAGCCCCAATGTAGCAATTCTTGTACTTAATGTTCATAGGTTTAAAATATTTCCATTATTTTAATGGAAATAGGGCCATATATACCATATACTATGGGCAAGCACTAGCTTATCTTAAATCTCAGTCTTAAAAAAGTGGGGTCAGTGTAACCTGTAGAATGAACAGTTCTGAATTAACGTGAGAGACTGATTGTCACTGGCCTAAGCCAACCTTCTGGGAAAGCTGCTCACTGCAGTGAGCCCACCTGGTTCTTGTAGTAATTCTCCAGTGAGTCCAGTTCATTCTGGTGCTGTCTCTTTTCCTCATCTCGCTTTTCTTTGGCATAGTTTCTTAGGTCTCGTAATCTTTGCTTCTGAATTTGTAAACCTTCTTCAAACAGCTTCTTAAATATCTGTTAGTTATTTAACCATAAAGATATATTTATGTTGCACTTGCATTTAGGAACATAATCATTTTACTTAGTTAGAGGTATATACAGATTGTATTTCACAAAGTTTTTTTTTAAATGACAGTATTATTCAAAAGTGTGTACCTCAGTAGGTTTTCGTATATTCAATGTACAACCATCACCCCCAGTTTCAGAGCATTTTCATCACCCCAAAAAGAAAAGCCACACCCATCAGCAGTCACTCCCCATTCTCCATTTACCCCTGGCACCACTAATCTATTTCCTATCTCTATTGATTTGCCTACTTTAGACACTTCTTTTTCATTTAGCATTATCACAGCAATATGTCAGTACTTTTTCCCTTTTTGTTACCAAATAATATTCTACTTGAATATATATTGTATAAGTAACATTTCTTCATCTGTTAAATCTGATGGACATATGGGTTTCCCCCTTTTTGGTTATTATAAATGGTTCTGCTACGAACATCTGTTTAAAGGTTTTTATGTGGATACATATCTAGAAATGACATTACTGGATCACATGTTAACTCCATGCCCTTTTGGTAACCTTTCTCCAAAGCAGTTGCACCCCAAAGCAGTTGCACCATTTTATACACCAGTCCTGCAGGAGGCTCCAATGTTACATCCTCACCAACTTGTCTGTTTTAGCTCTCCTAGTAGGTGAATGGTCTCACGGTTTTGATTTGTATTTGTTAATAACTAATGGTGTTCACCATCTTCTCATCGCAAAGCTCCCTTCCTTAATGCTTTCAGAAAAGAATTTTTAAATAGCCATGTACATAAGTCAAGAACCCCAGAGCAGAAATGTGCTGTACTTAAACAAGTGTGTGACTGTGAAGGAGGTAGGTGGCATTTCAGCAGCCATAGTAAAGCAAGTGTTCAAGGGGCTTGTCTTCCCTTCATAAGAAAAAAAACATTTTTTTTATTTTTAAAGACAGGGTCTCACTATGTAGCCCAGGCTGGCTTGGAACTCAGTATGTAGATAGACCAGGCTGGCCTCAAATTTACCATCTTCCCACCTCAGCCTCCCAAGTGCTGGGATTAGAGGCATGCTCTGTAAGAAGGGGCTCATCTCCCTCCCCCCAGGCCACTAAGCAACAGAGCTGCAGCTCAGCAGGAACAGGAAATGGCACTGAGGTCTTTAAGCAAAGCTTGAGTTGTCAAGAGTATTTGGTCAGCAGTGTCTTTTTCTAGAAATATCTCAGGTATTTAGTCCAATAATGAATATAATATTTACTCCAGAGACAAAGCTTACTGATAATTTGGGATCCCCAAAGATTAAATCATTTCATCTCGATCAGGATGAGACGGCAAATACCTTGTGAAAACAGCTCACAGCACAGTAAGCTATTCTTGATTTTATGTGGAATCCTACATCAGACCTTAATTCCCCAACCCCTGCATCAGCTGTACTGGAGGAGCATCTATGTGTTGGAGGTCAAGGGAATCAAGACTTCAAATTAAGAAAGGGCTGAGTCTGAGAACAGATGGCAATGCACAGCAGGGGCAGGGGTGGGGTGGGGCAGGGAGTAAAATGAAGCATGGAAAAGAGCACTTTTGGTGGTCAGCAGAACGTAGGATCTGGATTCAAACTGAGACAAGAGTCACAAAAACAGAAAGTAGTCCTGAAGGGTAACAGACAACATCTGCCTCCTTACCAGTGCTGGACAAACTTACCATCTCTTCCCGGGTTCTCATTCTCATCATTTTTGCACGCAACTGAACTCTGTAGTCATCATAATATTTTCGTGCACGAACAATTTGTTGACGATTTTCTTTTATCTTTGATTGGGTCAACTTCTGTCTATGAATGCGGTCCTTGAAGTCTTGCTAGAAAAAGGGCCAAGAACCAGAGGAAGGACGAGTTTTGAGTTTGTTCTCCATCCCCTCAACTCTCATCATGATGCCTTCAAGAAGTAAGCCAAGCATGGTGGCCCAGGGACCTACTGCCTGGGAATAGAATGAAAGGCCACCTGCTCCAGGAATCCTTCAGCCTTTGTAGTCTCGTCACCTCAATGTACAGAGCAGCCCCCACTGTGCAAAGAGCAGCCTGACCCCGAGCACTCCTGAGTGAGGGCCTCATCACCCCCCCACCCCAGGCCACTAAGCACATGGATGCAGCTTAGCAGGAGGCGGCAAAGGGCATTTTGAGGCTTCAAGCAAAGCTTGAGTTGAGAGCAATTAGGCCATAACCAAGGAAGTTAAGAAAATACCTGACAAAGCAGTAAGGATTAAGTGGGCCATGGGCATAAAGTCTCCACCTCAAGTGGTTTTGTTTGTTTTGTTTTTCCCCATAGCAAAATACCACATGCGAGTCTTAATGGCTTTTTGGAACTGTTTAGGATTCTAGTTCTTGAGGCTTATCTACTCTACACCCAACCAAAGATCTTTAAATCTCTTCTGACAGATGATCTTACCTGTCCTCTCCCTTCACTCTACTTACAGGGAAAAATGGTCCCAATCCAAACTATAATGAAAGGTAGCAAACTATCTCAGAGATAGTCAGAGAGATACTGAGAGTCAGAACAGGGCAAAAAGCACCAAGCTCTAATGACTCGGCACCTAGAAGAGGCTGTAGAGGTTCAGAACTGAGCTAAATCTCAACTGTACCCACTGCTTATCATGGCAAGACCCAGGAAAGTTAAAAGTCTCAAAGCCTATGGGTTTTCCTTCATAGAAAATATCTTCTCTAATTTGCCACTAGACTAATTAAAATGGGATATAAAGTACCTAGCATGTCCTCCCCTACCCCCATCAATTTTGGTTAAAGCCCTAGATACTTCTGCAGTAAGTGCTGGAAGTAAGAGTATATGCTGCCTAGCTAGTACCCGATACAGGAAATAAATACAACTTTTAAGTTCAAAATTACAAAGTCCAACTTTCCATTGACATACCAGTCTTTTGTTATGTTCATATTCTTTCTTGACAAGGGCAGTAAGGAGGTCATGCCTTCTTAGGACTGCTTCTATCTTTAAGGGGGGGACATAAGGCAAGCAGGTTAAGAATGCCATTGAAGGACAAGCTCTCCTCTTGGGTTTATATTCTTAGACTCAAACTGATGCTAACTTACTTCATCCTGGAGTTTCTTCCTTGATCGATTTTGTCTATATGCATCATTTTTGAGCTGTTCAGTCTGTGCAATTTGCTGTTTCCACATTTTGCTTAGTGTTGGGCCAGAAACATAGAGAAATGGAAACTGCTCCAGCATAAGAGGCAAGAGACTGTGTTCATTTACTTTCACTGAAAGGAAATGTGAGAGGCTCTTAATCTGAGCAACTTGCTGCCAAGAACGCTCCCCTGACCCGACCTTCCTGGAAGACCAAAGCTTAGTCAATCGACGTGGTGCTGATCCTGACAGGAATTATTCGAAATATACTTTTTTTCCCCCTTAAATCCACATCCCCCCTTGCCCCACTTCTTTGGGCAATACTGGAGTTTGAACACAGGGCTTGTGCTTGCTTGGCAGGCATGCTACCACCTGAGTCACTGCTCCAGCCGAGTTTCGCGCCCTACAGAAAACCAGCCATATGGCAGTGATAAAAAGGAACTTTCTGCTGCTAAGTGATGGATGTTAGTTTTCAGTGCTGTGTCCTTGGAATGCAGAATATACTTCAAAGGTCGCCAGTTTTCCATAAAGTACAATTTTGTGGTTCTTACTTGGAACCGCTTTATTTGAGTTTGGGAAGCCACCTCTTGGACTCGGAGCTGTGGTTTTTCGAGAGTAAATCTTCCAGGGCTGACTTTGTTTTGGAGTTCCTTTATGAACACCTCTGTATATTTTTTCCTTAGAAGCAGACATAAAACAGAATAGAAATAAAACAGAGGGCTAACTCATAATCATCTTAAATGTTACCTGCTGACAAAAATAGTGAACGAATCTCTAACCAAACCTTACTTCAAACTTTTTAAATCTGGTTAATGTTCATCTATTCTACATTAAAGACATATTTGTCCTCTGGCATCCCGTGGAATTTGAAAAAGTACTGAATCTTTTTCAAGTTTCAGCCACTGTAGTCCCATACACCCTAAGTAAAACCACTATTAATGTTTTGATGTCCTTGTTTCTTTGACAACCTTTTCCCAAGCAACTATACAGCATGCTTAGTTGTAACCACACTGAACTTTAGAGCCAGTTTTTTCATTAACAGCATTTTCCCCTGTGTTTTCACTTGGTTTCTATAATTGTCCGTTTGAAAGGCACTGAACACTTAGGCTTTGGGTTACAGAGCTCCTGGGGTTCACTGTCTTACTCCTTTAACTTTGTCACCCAAGACCATACTTTAATCTTCTGGTGAGCTGCTAAGCAGTAGAAACCCTTAAAAACTGATGGAAGTTTTAGGCAGATGGAAAAAACACTAGTTTTCTTTGCTACCATTTCTTGCTCTATCTAAGCAATTTGACTAATTCACAAAGAAGAGAAAATTCTACACCTTTTTTATTTTTCTTGTGGTGTCAGAAATTGAACCCAGAGCCTCGGCATGACAGTCAACTGCTATATTCCTCAGCCTTGGAATCCTGCCTTTTCCCAAAGAACTAATGATTAAGGCCATATTGGTCCTTTTTTCTTTTAAAAAGACCACCTGTATTTTCCACTGATATGATCAAGTGGCAATTACTACATGGGAGACTTTTACCCACTGTTTCCTCCTCGCTGTTGTCTTTTATCACTTGAGATCCAATATTCTCTTGAATTTTATTTTTTCTTAGTTCCCTTTCAAATGCTTCAGTTAATACCTAGAAAGGAAAAGGTCATATAATACTATAGTTCTTAAAAACATATTCAAATGAAGATGAAGGGGAAAAAAACTCACCTAGGATCCTATTACCCTTAAGATGTTGGGCTCATTCACATTTTTTAAAAAAAGTTCATTTCAGGCTCTGTATCATAAGTACTGCTTTAACAGAAATGTAACTAGAACACCAAATTTGACATAATGCATTTTTTTGTTCTTATGGGTTTTATAACTATTTTGATAACTCTTTCGAGTGGAAGTTAACATCCTAAGTTAAGTACTGAGTAGAACTATTTTAAGACATCTGAATTAACTTCACTTTTCACCATTGTAAATACTACATTATAAAACCCATTATGGAAAACAGCTAAGTGTTCCAAATTCACACAGCATTTCAAGATCCCTGCTCCACAGCAGAATGTGTTCTTGGTATCTGTACCAGTCCTTGTCAGAGCCCAACCATCTCCTCTGCTGGGCACTTTCTCCTGTTTAATCTACCTTAATTTCCTCCATCTCTGACAGTCTTTGAAAATACCAACCCACAATGATCTCCTCCTTCTTAATCCACTTAACACTGTCCAGGTTATTTTCATGAGTGTAATTTTTATGTTCTATTCATAAATTACATCACATAATTCTCTACCGTCCATTCAGATGCAGCCATACAAAGTGCACTTTAAACCTTTAATCAGTGGCGTACTCACAGTAGCACTGGCTGAGGGGATATGGTTCTCCTGCTGCCAATGGCAGTTGAGATGAGGACGTACCTTAGCTTGGAATTGGCGGGTGTCTGATGCTTTTGGCTTGTGCTGCCTTGTTCTCTCGATCTGGTACTGTTTGAGTTTGTTTGATGGAGCTGGAGAGAGCGAATGGGACCTGAAAGGTGGCTTTCTGGGTGTGGAAAGTCCTGTAACACAAAAAGGCATTTCACCATTATTTCCTGACAGTTAAAAATGGTAAGCTGAAAACCAAATGGTTGGTTCTTACCAAATCCAAAGAGAATATTGAGTAAACATGGTACATGGACTCTTTTGTAATTTGTATTTGTATGTTTAGTCATATCAAGTAAACAGACAAATGGACATATATGTGCCAACTCAAAATAGTTCCAGAAAGACAGAAAGGAACACTTATTGCAAGTAAGTACTTAGGCTGTATATTCAATGTTGAGCTCATGGAATGCTTTCTGTGCATAAAGTCCTACAGAAGGTGCTCTTGGTGATGGAGAAAAATAGGGAGGGAGAAAGGTGAGCTATCTGAGCTTGTATCTGCTGTCCTTTTTCCTGTCCAGGTCCTGAGGAGGGGTGTAAAAATGTGCAGAATATCATATGAATACTTACAGAGCTGCGTGCCTCTAAGCAAAACTTAACAGAGGCAAACAGTCCTGAGTTTTCCCTCAAGGGTAAACAGTGACATATGTGCCAGTGTCAATGGAGCACATTGTCTCAACTCAGTTACACAGCAGCTACAATGAATAACCCGGATCTCCAAGTATCAACAAAAATAAATATATGCACTATCTATGTAAAATGTAAGTAATATGTAAAAATAAATATATGCAGTATCTATGTAAAATTTAAAAAGAACATAGAATAGTATATTTTGACAAGTAATGTATAAGTTAAAGTATAAAAGCGGTGGTAAGAAGAAATAACACCACTGTTACCTGGATACCCTTTTTTATCCTTTCATCTATTTATGAAGTACTTAAAATGAGAAAGTCGTTAGTAGTTCATATGGATGCCCCATCTAGGCCTCTCTGAGGTAAGTACCTGGCTTTAGCTTCTTTGGCCCATACTCCATGATGCTGTCACTGTGCTGAGACAGTGCCTCCTCATTTCCACTGTCCACTTCTTCATTTCCAGTGTGATGTTCTTTACGATCCGTCTTTTCTTTAATTCGATCACCTAGGGCACTTTTTAACATCTGTTGGGAAAATTCTTTTCAACATCTTTCTTTGATTTCAACAGAATGTAAACTGGTAGGAGTAGACAGGTTTCATTTATTTTTTTTGATTGTTTTTTATTACTGTTTTGAGACAGGGTCTCAATATGTAGCCCAGGATGGGCTTGAACTTTCAATCCCCCTGCCACCCAATCTCAATACACACTGAAAAACAGGACTTGCCCAATCCAGTTCAGAGAGCCGTTGAGAGAGTTTCTCTGACACTGCGTGTAGTTCTTGCTCTGTTAACCTCTTTCTTGGCCTCTGGGGGAAAGGTGAATCCCACGATGAGGCTGAAGCTCTGTTTTCATTCCTGTTAATAAAGTGGCCATATGACATTTATGTAGCCATTTAAGTCGTTCAAAATAACTGTAACACATCCTTTAATAAATACTTCACGTGGTTTCCACAGCTAAATTTGGAGAATTGTACCCTTTATTTTTCAAATCCTTATGCAAATCAACAGTAAACACCAAAGTCTATTGCAATCATTACCTTTTTCCTTTGGGAAGCTTCCTTGTCCTGGGGCTTTGAACCTGTGCTAGATATATTTCCTGTTCGCTATCGTTAGGCAGCTTGGAAGTTAAGGTAACTTTATCTTCTGGTTCCTATTAACAACAGAAAAGAGTTGATTTGAAAGAGCTAGAAAGAAGTCACACAGAACAAGGACCGATGACACAAGGCCGGGTCCTTCAATCTCCATGTTGATTTGTTTTTTGTTTTTTGTTTTTTTGAGATGGGGTCTTGCTATCTCGCCCAGGTTGGCAATCTTCCCACCTCAGCCTTCCAAGTGCTGGACTACAGGAACGTGCCACCCACCCAATTCCATGTTTGTTTTTAAACACAGTTGTTTGTCAGAACACCACATTGATACCTAACGTCAAAGTACTGGAGCGCAGTGTCTATCAACTTGTGTTCAGAGAAAAAGTATGGCTCAGGATGTCATTCTAAATGAGGCAGGCAAGGGGCTCTCAAACATGAGATTCAGGGTTGTAGTTACACATGGTCAATACAAAACGATCAGATCCCAAATGGAAAGTATTCAAGTTGTTATCTTTTGTACCAAAGAGTCAACAGGGACTGTCCAAAATTAATGCACTTAAAACAAAGATGAAACCTCCCAAAATAGAAACTCTTGATATTTTTAATGACTTATTTCTTAATCTTAAAGGGAGTCATGTTTGTTTTGGTGCTGGGAGTGGAGCTAGGGCCTCACACATGCTAAGTAGAGTCTATCCTTCTACTTAAATACTTTTTAGTAAATAACAAATATAATCACATTTTTAAGTTTTTTAAATGAAGTTTAAAATAAATGAAGTGCCCAGCTCAATGAATTATTCCAAAATGAATATTCTCATTCACTGCAACCCAGATGAAGAAACAAGAGTGTTGCCAATAATTCAGAGGCCCTCCCACTGAACTCCCCCAAAGGTAACTATTAGCCTATAACCCCATTTTTCTTTATTTATTCATTTTCTTATCTGTACAGAATGTTTAGAATGATAGCTGTATTGTGCTAATGATGCTTATTTTATCTTTGTACTTTTCCTACATTGTTTGAATTTTTTTTCTTTTTTCTTTTCTTGTTGCAGTACTGAGTTTGAACTCAAGGCATCAGGCTTGCTAGGTAGACGTTCTACCACTGAAGCCACAACCCTAAACTCTTTGTTTTGGTTACTTTTCAGATAGGGTCTCAATGTTTTTTGCTTGGGCTGGTCTTGGATTGCAATCCTCCCACATATGCTTCCTGCCTAAGTGGGACCACAGATGCACACAACCATGCTTGGCTTGATGGTGAAGACAGGTGGGAGGGGGGGGTGTTGTCTCACTAACTTTTTTTTTTGCCCAACCTGGCCTCTAATCTTGATCCTTCTAATCTCTGCCTCCTGAGTAGTTATCATTATAGGCATGTATCACCATGCTTTGTTTGAATTTCTTAATGAGAATGTATCATTGTTTATAAATTCACCCTGGCACGTATCTTCCTATTCTTTCTAGGAAGCTAGGGAGAGGATGACAGCATGATTTTTCTTTTCCCCAAGAAAGGAGTAAAAGCAAGTAGGCAAGGTATTACCAATGCATCATGCTAGGTGGTGGGAATACAGATGGATGGCTGTTTTCTTTCTGGTATCTTTACAGTCCTTTATTATTTAATTAGGGACATACAAAATGGGTTTTGAAGCCAGAATGCCTGAGTTCAAATCCTGTTTCTGCACTTGCTGTTTAACCTCAGACAAGATACTAACCTCTCTACATCAACTTTCCCATGGAAAATATAGTACCCATTCCAGAATTGTTTTGAGGAAAACATTCTTCAATATCTGTGAAGTACCCGGAACTGTGACAGATAACATTCCATATGTACTGGCTCTTATTTCCCCTTCACAGACTCGTTTTGTCTCTGTCTTCCTAACAGTGCTTTGATTGGTGCAGTATCACTGACTTCTCTTCTAACAGAGGCTCCCTTAAGTATGCAGGCCTTTGGGGCTCAGGGTGTATGTGGCTGAGTGGAAGAGCATATGCTTAGCATAAACAAGGCCCTGGGCTCAACGGCCAACACTAAAAGTAGAAAAATATATGGAATTCTAGCCAATTGCAAGCAAGTTTTTCCACTTACCACAACAACTGCAGTGTGCTCTCCACTAGAATTTACAGCAGGGGAGCAGTAGCTTGAGCGTAAGTACTCCTTTCCTATGGGGCAGGGTGCTCGCGGTTCTGAAGGGTGGTAGGGAGGGTGTAAAGGAATAGCTGGTCGGATAGGCTCCCCTAGCTTTCTAGCACTTGGAACCATGCTCACAGAAGGGCTTTCTGTTGGTAAGACAAATGAAAGTGGATCTTATAATGAAATTCTGAGAGAAAAATCCTTTTACATATACATATCTATATATAAACATTCTTTTTTGTGTGTGTGTGGTGCTGGGGATTGAACCCAGGGCCTCACATGTGCTAGGCAAGCACTGTATCTCTGAGCTCTATCCCCAGCCCAGGAATATTTTTCAAACTTGTTTAAAATGAAGCACATACACAGTAAACTGCAGATGTGTATTTAGCCAAATAGGGATTTAATTAAGTCAGTATGAATGTAATTTTAATGTTCTTATCATAAAAGTATTCCCTGAAAGTTATTTTACAATAATGAAAAACTAGAGGCAGCTTAACGGCTTGAAGAGCAGCTACATACATTTCCAGTAGCTGGAAAGCTAGCTAGCCATTAATAGAGTTTATGTAATAATACCGTATGAAAATTCTATGGGTAACAATAAGGAAGGAGAGTGTTTTTCCAGTTACAATACAGATGATATGCAAACGTATCAGAAACCCTTATTGTCTTTAAAAGAAAACAGTCTTTGAGAGGACTTAGGTAGTAAAATAGTTGGCACAACAATATGGAACCAAAGATCATGTTAAGCAGAAATCAGAGCTTGTAATAACAGCAAACATTTACAGAAAATAGCATGTAAAAACAAAAAGAATCTCAGAACTGGGCAATAAAAGCAAAGAGGCTACTAGCAACAGAGAACCTCCCCAGAACTGTGGTTCCCAGTCCAGCAGTAGTCTAAAGAACCAACACCCATTACCACTCACCATCTTCAAGAAAGGCTGTCCTGTTCTTGGACAGAAAACTGGATGAGGGTGGGTTTAATGCATCCTCATAGGGTTTAGAACTCGGGGATGTCAAGGCTTTTCTAGATTGCATGTCAGAACTTTGAGGACCTAGGAAAAGAAATGGTAAAGGTAAAAATTTTAAGCTGTCGAAATAGTTTGCTAAATATTACACTAAAAGTCAACAGACACAGCATTTATACTGAAAGAACAATACTGGCTCAACCAATTATTTTAAATAATTATCATATAGTAAGAGGCAATTCTGCAGAATCAGGTATGTAATTCGAAAGCAGAGTTTTACTCAATGTCTCATTACTTTGCTTAAGTCTGTTTTGTTTGCTTCAGACAGGATCTTGCTATGTATCCCAGGCTAGCCTTGAACTCAGGAACCTTTTGCCTCAGCCTTCTGAGTGCCTTAATTACAGGTGTGCACCACCCTGCCCAGCTCATTACTTTGCTTTAGAAAAATAGGTGCCAGAGTTACAGAAACGCTGACTGTTATATAAAGAGAGGAACAGCTGGGTCGTGGCAAGCACCACAATTAAAGAATTATAGTTCAGAAATTGAAGTCTAAATATTAGATGCCTGTGAATGTGTATGACAGTTCTGACATCTTAATTAAAAATGAAAGGCAAGTGTTGAAGCCCTTTTATTACATCAAACACAAATATGCCTCCCAACGAGCATACCAGGCCTCTCAACCTTTTCTCTTTTGCCTTAATTGTATTAAATAAGTCCTCTGTTTACTTATAATCTGAAAACAACTAACAGGTTGAGTATGTTATGTAAAATGCTTAGGATCAGAAGTCCAAATATTTGCATATACATAGTGAGAAATTTGGAGGAGGGAACCCAGATCATTTATGTTCCATACACACATCAATACACAGCTTGAAGGTAATTTTATACAGTACTTTTAGTGCGCCTGTGTTTTGACCATGACCTGTAATATGAAATAAGCACTAAAAAATTTTTGGATTTTGGATATTTCAGATTTCTGGATTAGAGATACTCAAATAATAATTCATTTTTTACAGTTGTACCTTTTAACATGGCACTTGATTATCACAGAACCCATTTCTACAACCACCATTTCTTTCATTCTGTCAATTTGTCTGACTTCCTTCAAAAACCTCTTTCATTAACCACACTTGACTCTGATCATTCAGGTACTTTGCCTATCTTAAAGGCAAGCACATGTCTTTGGTTTGCTGTCTGACCTTAGACTGAGGTTCTCTGAACACAATTACTTAGCATGCAGCGTTTCCTACTCTAATCACCATTACCTGGCACAGGGAAAACACTGAAAAAATTTTTGCTAAATAAGTATGACATGGCTAAGAACTCAGGTTTTCCCAAGAACTCACAGTTTCTACAACAGACAAACTAAGTTACCATGCAGTATGTGAACAGTGTTACAGAAAAGAAAAAAACCTTCACTGTAGGAAAATGAACCCTCAAAGCCTGATTTGGGTCGGGGGAGGCTGGAGTTTTCCAGAAACAGGAAAAACACCCAGCGGATGAAACAATATGATGCCAGAGGAAAGAATGGCAACTGAGGAGGGTTTATGTTCCTACAGTGTGGCCTCTTCTGTAACACCATTCACACAGGTAGAGTAGGACAGGAGATAGGAGGTGGGATAGGAGGGTGGGGGAGGGGGCAAACTGGGGCCTGAGAGATAGTCCAGTCTACTGTGTATAAGCAGTAGATTGTTGGAAATACGGCCTGAAAGTGTGGGAGAAAAATTGCCATTGGGAGTATAAAATGGTTAGTTGAAATAATGAAACAAATAAGCCAACAAGTTTAGGAAGCTACAATTAAAGAGTACTCTGAGAGTGTGACTGGACCATAAAGCTTCATCCAAACTTCTCTTCCTAGGACATCAGGTCCCACAAACTGCATGGCAACCTTGCATCTACTGATTTCCTTGGACTTACCTGCCCGCGCACCTGCGACTCCTACTTGCTTGTGATTTCAGGTAATGTTCATATTTAGTGGATAATGGTAGTATTCTGGAATTTCAATGCTGATGTTTAGTTAGGGCTCTATTCATCTCAACCTTAAAGAGTGTAACTTTAAAATTTTTTAAAATTTTTTCTTCTGTGGACTGGAATTTGAACTCAGGGTCTACAACTTGAGCCACTCTGCCAGCCCTTTTTTGTGAAGGGCTTTCTAGAGACAGGGTCTCACTACTATTCCCGGGCTGGCTTCAAACCACGATCCTCCTGATCTCTGTCTCCACAGAAGCTAGGATTACAGGTGTGAGCCACCAGCACCTGGCAACTTTATTTTTTTTTTAAAACCTGGTACTTGGGTTTGAACTGAGGACCTTGCGCTCTGCCACTTGAGCCACTCAAACCACTCCACCAGCCCTTTAGGTTAAAGGTAAGGTCTCAAATTTTTGCCCAGGGACTACCTACAGCCTCCCACATAGCTGAAACCACAGGCATATCACCACCACGCACAACTTACTTGTTGAGGTAAGTCTCACTAACTTTTTGCCCAGGTTGACCTCAAACTGCCATACTCCTAATCTCCACCTCCTAAGCATCTGGGATTATAGACGTGAGCCATCACACCCACCTTTATGTGTTTACAGTTGTATGCTGAATAATGTTAACTGATACTTAAAATTTAACTACTCACCATTACTTCTTAGAGAAAAGGTGTGTGCTGTGTCTCCAAGTCGAATTATTTCACCTGTGGATTCGGCTTCATCTTCATCCCAAGTGGGATCCAAAGCATCAGATGAGGAGCACCTGAAAGAGATCTCTCACTCACTTAGGATCCAGTCTGACCACCCAGGGCCCTTTCTATGAGCAGCCAGTTAGCTGCTTTAAAGAGCCAACCTGCAGGTACTCAGACTGCTCGTTGCTAGGAGAAGGAAACCAAAGGACTAGGGCTGGGTGTATAGCTCAGTGGTAGAGGGCCTATCCAGGATGTGCTAGGAGCTGGAGATGTAACTCAGTGGTAAAACACCTGTCTAGCATGCACAAAGCCTGGATTAGATCCCTAGACTCCTCAGCAACTACCCCCCAACATACATACAAAAAAAAAAAAAAAAAAAACCAGACCTTTTTTTTGGCAGTATCGGGGTTTGAATTCAGGGTCTTATGCTTGCTAGGCAGACACTCTACCACTTGAGCCACAGTCCTAGTCCACTTTGTTATTTTTTTAAAAATCTGATAGTGAAAATAAAGTCAAGAATTTCATAAAATAGTGACTTTTGAGACATTTTTCACAGTGTACTACACCTAAAAAAGGTATTACCTGTGCTTTTCAAGCCATGGCAAATTCCACTAAAAAAATTAAAGAGATTTAAAAGAATATCACAGCATAAATACCATCAGCTCTGTAATGACAACACATTTTGTCTATGAAACTAGCACAAATTTTAAAAGTCTAATTTTTCAATGATACTGGTTCAAGAGGGTGCAGTAACTCAGCACTTTTATGCTGCTGGTGGATGTGTAAATAGTTATCACTTTTTAGAAAACTTGGCAAATTTTATTAATACCCTTAAAATAATACTTTTTAAAATCTGAATCTAGTCTAAAGATATGAGAAGGAAAAACTTTTTTTAATAAAAAGCAAACCAAAAGCAAAAACCAGAAACAAACCTCCATTTTAGAATGCTTTAGTAAATTATGATGCACCCATATTAACAGCATGTTATGTAGTGATTATTATAGGGCTGGGGGTGCAGCTTAGTGATACAGTGCTTCTCTACCATGCACAAGACCCTGAGTTCGAGCCCCAAAACCACCAAAAACGTAGAACGTTTAATACTGGAGGTGTGGCTCAAGCAGTAGAGTACCTGCCAAAGCCCTTGAATTTAAACCCCACAACTGCCAAAAAAAAAATAAAGTTTAGTAACTTGAGAAGACTTGGTTTCAAATTTTAAAAATGCAAGAAAAAACAAAATTATATAGGTGACTTAATCCAAAAAGAAAGTAAAAAGAACTAAAATGTAACAGAGTTAATAGTGGTGTTTAATTTTGAATGAGAGATTTCATCTTTTTCTTCTTTTTTAAAAATTTCTCTGTATTTTCTAAGTTTTCTGCAAGGAAGATACTACTTTGACCATCAAGGGAAAATTAAAAATTAGTAGGTAGTTAAGACCTAGAATTTACAGCAATTCTCAGTTTTAAAGTTATTAAAACTTCTTTGGGACGGTATAAAATAGAAGTTAGTAAAATGTTCACATTAGCTTTTTCAGGTACCACTCTGGTATTTTGTGTGCAATTTTACTTCATAGTTTTTTGTTTTTATGTTTCTATTTTGTTTTTTTTTTTTTTAAAGACAGGGTCTTGCTGTGTAACTCAAGCTGGCCTAGAACAGGTGATCCTCCTTACCGTTCAAAGTGCTGGGATTACAGATGGACACCACCATGCCCAGCAAAAAGCTTGTTTCTTGTTTTTTTTGTTTTTGATAGTTCTGGGGTTTGAAATCAGGGTCAGGTTTCATGCTTGCTAGGCAGGCACTCTACCACTTGAGCCACACCTCCTGCCTGCACTAGTTGTTTTGATGAAATTCACAGACATCGGGTACTACCTTCCAAGTGAAACTTTTTTCCATGATGATTTAGATTCCTTAGAACTTTCTGGGTCTTCTGAAGATTCTTGATGGGATTCTCTAAAATACTGTTCAGTTCCACCTGTTTAAAACAGATTAAAAACAATACCAAAAAAAGTTAGTAACCTTTTTTCTTTTCTATAAAAGGCTGGGGGAATGTAAGAACAACGAGGCACGAAGAGCCGAATCTTCACCAGTAATGAGTTAGTTCTCGTATCCAAGAAACAACAATCATATTGCTTTCAAAGCAAAGTTGATGTTGCATATAGCAATGTTTTACTTTTTAAGCTGGGTGGTAGGTTCATTTATCATTCTTTATAACTCCATGTCTGTAAGGGATGTCTGAGATAACCAATTAAGATGGCAGTAAAACATGATTGTGTCAGCCTACTTCAAGCTCCAAGACAATTACCTTTGGTTAAGAGTCAGACCACATCATGGCCTGGGTGGAGATTTCCTTAAGACCATTTTTATCCAATTCACAAATGCCTGAAGAATATACATTTTCACCAGAGGCAGAAATGCACTAGCTCAATGATTTGAGGAGATGTGGGAGAATCCACCTATGAGTCATACTTATCTCCCTGGGTCACATCCCATTTCTATTCTATTTGAACTCGCTGTTCAAATATCTACCTTCATTTTTTCTGTTTCTGTATCCACCAAGCAACATTTTAAGCAACCTTTTTTTGTTTTTTTTTTGTGGTACTGGGGTTTGAACCCAGGGCCCCACACTTACCAATTGAGACATACCTCTAGCACTAAGCAACATTTTAATAACATTTGTTAACACTGTGCATTTACTTTGAGCTAGGCTCTGTGCTAAACTATGTACACCTATCCTTAACAACCTTCAGATAAGAATTCTTAAGAGGTTTAAAGCTTCAGTAGTATAGTGAGGGGCAACTTAGCATCAAATGCATGGGCTGCCTTCAAACCCCTGGTTCCAAGTTCCAGGTAGAAGCTGCCCTGTACAGCTGGGTGATTTGTAACGTAAATATTTGTTTTACATTATTGCTTTCACTTGAAGAATCTGATCGGCTTGAGGTAATACCGCAAAATAGAAATACTTTAAACCTGCATTAAGTGAAAACTAGACCTCGGAAAATGTTGTCCAACTAAGGATTATGAAAAAAGGCCCACTGAGTAACTCCCTCCTAGCACAGCTCAGCTCACCACGTACTACCAACCTGTCCTGGGAATATCCCTCAGGCTTTCACTACCACCAGACTCTCATGAAAACATCTCTAGGTTCTGGCATCCTCCCTTGATCCCTACTGCTCTGTAATTGGCCTAATACTACCATCCATTGTACAGCACTCCAAATTAATCTCAATCTCTACTTAGAGGTAGTTTTGTGTATCTTACCCTGACTGCTTTTGGAAAAAGACAAAAAGGCATAGAGCATCCAAATACCTACTGGTAGGCGTGAATTAGGTGAGTTCCGTGTCATTCACTTTTAATGGTCTTCCCCATTTTATGTTTTTATTGTATGCATCATGGCTGTCTCCCTGACTTGAGTACAGGTGCCTTTGAAAATGGTAAACATTTAGCTTTCAATCTCCCAAAGTATCCAGACTGGCATTAACACATATTACACAATGTTTTTGAAATAAAGAGATTTCCAGTGTGGCACACTTTTCAACTCTTCCCTCCCAGCTTTTAAATTTTCAGTAGCAACTGATTGAAGGTAGGGAACTCTAACTGAAGACTTTTAAGATTAATTTCAAATGTTATAGTAACAACACAGACTTCACCATCAACAATAGCAGAATTGAATCAAGGACAAGCCTACCCCAATTTTTTGTTGTCATTTGTACTAGAATTTATGTTACTGTTGCTGCTGAAACTTTTTTCTTTTTTATTTATTTTATGCTGAAAGTTTTGTTTCTTCAGTTTCTTCTGGGGCATCTTTTTCCTCCCTGCACCCTCCTCTTCTGGTTTAGGAACAATTTGTTCCTTTTCAGTGAGGATCAGCTCGATGTGGTGGGGAAACTTACACATGGTTTAATTTGACCATGAGCTTTGTAGGCTCAGCAGCACATCCTGGGTCTTTCTTCACCTGAATATGTTCAGTGACCAGAGAATCTACATCCAAATCCTTCAGTTGGCATCACTCTCTGCATGTTTAAGCACGTGCACAAAAATTCAACACTCTTTTTGGGCCACCAACCCCGTGTCCAGCCCCACTGTTTGGCCTGGGCACACCTACCAACTCCACCACTGTAACACTGGGATGGCAAACACTGCTTCTTTGAAGTGACAGCTTTCAGATACTTGATGGCTTTTCAGACAGGCATGGCCTGATCTGCAAGAGTTTTTTTTTTAATCCCCGTGTGGAATTTTTCTGGGTCAAGAGAATATCAGACCATTTTCATGGGTCACCTCAGGCCACTGACAGGAAGCTGAATCTGAAAACTTTTTTTAAAATAACTTTGCAGATTAAGAACAGGCTGTATATTATTGCATCCATGACCAACAGTATTATTTACTTAATCTTAAATTGTCAAAATGTAAGGTTTTTTTGTTTAGTAATGATAAATAACAATGTAATGAACACTTTTAAGCACTTGACTTTTTTTTTTCAGACAGGATTTTACTATGTTGTAGCCCAGGCTGGCCTCAAACTCATGACCCTCCTGCCACAGCTTTCCAAGTCCTGGGACTACAGTCTTGTGCCATCATGCCTGGCTCAAGCGTATAATTTTATTTTGTATTATTTCCTTAGAATAAATTCTTATATATGGAATTTATTTATTAAATATGATAAACAAGCTTTTAGACACTTAATATTGAGTTTAAATAACTATAACTCTTTTGAATAAAAATATGGCAAGCTGATCTTCATAAAACAAGAATTTTATGCAACAAATCTGAATTGTGTTACTCAAAGAATAACAATACTCAGTGTAGGCTGAACATAGAGGTGCACCAGTTCCTCCTGATGACGCCTCAGGAACATCTAAATTTGTAATATAAAATAGCAGTTCTGAGATAGAAAATTGCATGCAATAATGGGACAATAAACAATTTAGTAAGAATTTTTACTTTCCATTATAGATTAGCTTTAAAGCAACTTAAACCCACATCAAGTTAACAGAAATATGATGGCAGTCTAAGAGTTTCTAATCACCTAGAACAGAAAGAATTGGAAATTTATAATTAAATCTTCTAGGTGTATGGTATTTGTGATTCTGCTTTCAAAGAAAAACAGGCAAAAGATAAAGGGCAAAAGGGACACACAGGATGTAGACCAAACCCATTTCCATTCTCTTTTTTTGTGGTGTTGGGGACCAAACCCAGGGCCTTGGGCTCTATCACGGAACTACATTTCTAGCCCCTCCATTCTTAAACTTACTTTTATCGTGAGATGTTTCACTGGTGTGTTCTGTAAGATACTCCAGCAATCCATCAAATATTTCTAAGAGATTCTTGATACATTCTTTATCTCCTTTCACTATTTTCTCCTGAACACAGAATACAGAGCTATTAAAATTTTTAACCAAGAAATCTGAAAGTCTCATAATCTTGAAATGGATTTAACATTGTGAAGATGCTGTTCAAGAAAAAAGAGATCATAAATAAACAGGGAGAAACAATATTATTGTAACACCAGTTTCCTGCCACTTGGTTAGATCTGAAAAAATAAAAGGGGTGTCACCTTGAATAGTGTTGGATTATTCACTGGAGATTTCTTCTTTTTCAAGAAGCAAAATAACTGGATGAAAGGAACCATCCTCTATTAAGATGCATGCCCAAAAGCAGCAAGGCAGAACTTTATTTTAGGTTGGTAAAAATGGCAAAAGACAACACTTTCAGATTGGGAGATCCTACCTCCAGAGGCTTGTTTGTTCAAACCATTTTTCTGATAAAAAAATTCTGATGTTCCAAAGCTCTGCATATACAACTGTCTTTTTTTTTTTTTTTTTGGTACTAGGGATTATTGATCACAGGGTCTTGCACTTGAGTACTTGACCACTTGAGCCACACCCCACAGCCCATATACAACCCTTTCTAATCTCATGCCATCCACAACCTCTCCTGTCTCACCTGCTACTCCATTTATTTAATATTCAGAAGGTAATCTTTAAAATGTCCCAAGCACAGCACCTGGCTCATAATAGAGTATATCAATAAATGTTAAGTTGAAATGTTGAATAGAAATGGGTTGGCAAAAGCATGTACACTTAACATGTTTAATGTCACCTAAAGTGAACTCCATCAGCACCAGGTATGGATGACACTCAAAAGAGTTGACACTCTGATCATCCTTTGGGAAATCAGCCACGGTGTAAAACAAACCTAAACCAGAAATGTAATGTTTTATACTCTCATTGGTAAAAACAGACAATGTTTGACAGGTTTGTTTTTGTTTTTTTCTGTTTAAAATAAAATGAACCAGAAATCTTGTTTTGAAACCCTGTGTTTTTTCTGCCTTATAATACATAAGTATACCCCAAGGGCATACTCTAGTTTCCAGGATGGGGAGTACATTCTGCTAACCCAGCAACTAGACTGCTGGCCAGAATGTGGTGCTTCATAGGGTAGAGGACACTGCTTTAACCTGGGGTGGGGGTAGGGGGTGTTAGGTAGTAGAAAGCCCTGCAGTCTGCTGAAGTAGGTAAGCAGTTTTGCAGTTTTTTCATGGCTGAGTGTGATTTTTCAATGGCAGCTCTACATTAAAATGTTTTCTAAACATATGTATGTTTCTAAGCATACATATGCAACAGTATGTTTTAAACGCACGAATATCAGAAATTTCCCTTTCCACTGAATCAGAAGAATAGGGAAACTGCACACTTAGTCTTTAACATTCTCTGCAACTGATTTTCCACATTTTCTGAAAACCAAACTCAAATATTACAGAGTGTTAGTTCTGGTCACTATCATATTAAGCAATGTAAATGGACTATCCTGATTAACATTTATCTCCTTTAACTACTGCCAAAGAACAAATTGACAGTATAAGCCATTTTGTGATTGAAATATAGTTTGAAGTCTCTAAGATTCCTTCTGTTCATCAGCTTGAAATAATTTACTGGAATTATTATTCCTTACTATCCACAAATACAAGGATCTGTAAATATATATGCTATGTTTGGGTTCTGGAATACAGCACAGTATATTCTACTTAGGAAAATTTTCAAAAACAGTTTACATTTAAAAAATGTTTGAATAGATAATATGGTTTAAAATTATAAAATGCAGAAGAACTACACCACATTTTTTCTCACACATATATATACTGGAGATTGTTCTCCTGACATGGAGACATCATGCCATAAAGAGCATCCTCAATCATTTTTTACAGCTGTAAAGTAGTTCACTCTACAGACCTATTAAAAATTTATCTAACCAGTCCCAATTAATGGACATTTAGATGTCTCTAACATTCACCTACAAACAAAACATGCATCGCATTTGGTATGCTCTTAAAAAAGTAACAAAAACATACCTTAAATACATTTCAGACCCAGACCCATCATAAACTCAATGTTCAACTTTCCAATGCTCTCAGGTATGGTGGCCATAACTATACCAGTTGTCTTGGCTCAGTTTTAAGTTTTTCTTATTCCATAAAACACTGTCTAAGGTTCTACCTAACATTTTATTAAAATGTGTAATTATCAAATAGTTAAGTACATACTAAACCTGTTATGTGAGACAAGCTAACCTGAAGGTAATCCAAGGCTAGAGAATCAATCACTGCTTGTACATTGTGGGCATGATCTTCTTGACTTCTGGGAATAGCATATAAGGTCTGTGAGGGAAAAAAATCACATTATTTTGTATCTATTAAAGGCCAAGTTTTGATTAATCTCTGACTAGGCTTTTGAGTAAACTCAACTGCTATGAAAGCAAGCTCTAACCAAACAGAACAGACTAACAAAATACAGATGCAGTTAACAGAGCCTAGAATCTACACAGTAGAATCTTTAATATGAATTCATATTTAATATGAATGTGTCCTATGCAAGCCCCAGGCAAAGGAAGATATAGAAGTCCCTAAATTCAAAGAGATGCTAATAGTCTAATAAGGAAGGCAAAGCTGGGCATGATGGTACACACCTGTAATCCTAGCACTCAAGAGACTGAGGCAGAAGGACCACAGTTCAATGCCACCCTGGGCTACATAGCAAGACCCTACCTTAAAAAGCTAAAAATAAAATTAAAAAAAAAAAAGGCAAGATATGAAACAAGACTTTTACCCCCATCTCTGAGCTGCGCTTTCCATGATGGAAACTGATAGCAACAAAAACCCAGCCAGTGTTCAAGGAGAGCTCTTTGAATATACTATAACAACACCTATTGGGTGTTGTCAACAAAAAAGGTTTAAAAAGGTGCTCGTGGCTCACGCCTGTAATTCTAGCTACTTAGGAGACAGAGATCAGGAGGACTGAGGTTTGAAGACAGCCTTGGCAAATAGTTCAAGAGATCCTATCTTGAAAAAAAACCATCACAAAAAAAAATCGCAGGTGGAGTGGCTCACTCACAGTGTAGACCCTGAGTTCAAGCCCCAGAACCACCAAAAAAATTTCAAGTTCCATTGAATTTTAGAACTTTTGAAAAAACAGTGTGACTTTTACAAGGCATTAGGCATTATTGGATTGATTGGGGATTATCATGACCTGTCAAATTGATTTGATCAAGGTCATTATTATGGGTGGGCCCCATAAGGTCTTCATTAATGTAATGAATGCCATACTTGGATAGAAATAAGACGCAGAAAGGGAAAACAAAATTTTGTAAATATGAAAGGATCTAACTACGGGCACTAGAAACTTTCTAGCCTAAGATATAGACACAATTACTCCCACTTTCCTGTACCCTTACCTGGTACCTTTTCTCCCAAAATGGACTGATAAAGAGCAATAAAAACATTAGCATCACAATCTTCAAGTTCATGTATCCTCAGGTGTATGTGACACTTAAAAAGAAGGTTATTGGCAATGGTTACCCATTCTGTTGGGGAAGAAGGGGGAGAAAATCAGTCTTCAGTAGCACTTGAAAAAGTCATATACATATTTAAAAAAAAACCAATTATCACCCCACAAAAAAACAGACATTGAACACTGTTCAAGATAAGGAATTTATAGAACTGTGATAGAATTTCAAAGACCCTGCGAGGCAAGATCTTTGAAAAGATGTATTTAATTTCTTGGCGTGATTTTTGGAGTGCTATGGCTTCATTGTAGTCAAGACTATAATGCAAACCCAATCTTAACTGTTGAAATCTTAATTTATTTACCAGTAGTTATTTTGTAAGCCTTACATAGTTGCCTTTAGTTAAGACGTATTTACAATAAACCGGAATCATCTTGTCATAGACAAGGGAGTTTGCAAATTGATAGTCTGTTACTAGAAATTAATGGAGGTGGCTTCAAATTCCCAGTGGTATTAGTCATGTTTTTACCCAATTATCTTGTGAAAGTCAGGATCTCTCTGGTGCCCAAATAGGTGATTCATTTAGGCTGTTAAGAACTAGAATAACGACACCACCAATGCTAGTGTATTATTTTTCTTTTTACTGTATTTGATTTGACGTATAGGAAAGAAGACGTGGGAAATACATAAAAACACTCCTCAGCTCAGAACTAGCACAGTACCAGTACTGTTGAAGCGCCCCACGTGCTGGAACCCAACCTGCCCCCCCCAGGCAGTGTTGGAATTACCCAGGCTAAGGGTTCTCGACTAAAGACAATTTAGAAAGCTTCAAACACTAGTTTCCCGAAATCACTGGCGATTAAGGGGAAAGTACTTTATGGACGCAGGCGTTCTGGAAACAAATGGGTGTGTGCATCTGCCATGCACGCTATCCCTCCTCTCCATGCCCGTTTCTCAGGCTGACCAGCGCAGGACAACCGTTTAGGACGCGGTGCCGGAGCAAAGGATGGAAGCGTCCTAGAGAACCGAATCAACTCACTGGTCCGGAACGCTGCTACACAAAGCCGGGGACTCCAGAGGGCACTGAGGACCAAAAGCCACCACTATCCTCCTTCGGCAGGGTAATCAACACACCTTAGCGCCAATGCAAATGTGGACTGCTGCTCGGTCCCCATAATGCAAACGCGGGGGGGGGGAGAGAGAGAGAGAGAGAGAGGGAGAGGAGGCGAGAGGGAGAGGGAGAGAGAGAGAGAGAGAGAGAGAGAGGAGGAGAGGAGAGAGAGAGAGAGAGAGAGCGAGAGGGAGAGAGAGAGAGAGAAGCGAGAGAGAGAGAGAGAGAGAGAGAGAGAGAGCGCGTTGACAGCCATCCCAAAGAAATACAAGTCCGAGGAAGGTCCTGTGGCTGCTCTTTAACACCAGCACGAGGGCCCCTCTCTCACACCCGTGTCGCTGTCCCACGGCCTCGCAACCAAGAAGTAGTGAAGCTGAGAAACCCTATCCAGAGACCCCGCGACTGCGACAGGACGTCTGATAATCACGACTCGCCGGCAGCCTAGACCCAACTCAGGCCGGCCCGAGGCCTTCGGGAAGTTGGACGGCCACAGTCCACACACACCAAGACTCCGGGGCGAGACTCACCAGCCTCTGAGCCGGCCATGTCGCGGGAGACAGGTCGTCGCCAGACACCGAGGCAGGAGCGCGGGCGACGGTGTCCGGGAACGACCACACCGCGCAGACCCCCCGCCGGCGGGAGGGGGTGCGCACCAAAGAGTGCGGAAGGAGGGTTGAAAGAGGGAGGGACGTTAAACGGCTTCTCGCCGCTGATTGGTCGTCGCTGAAGCACTTCCTTTCGCCGCACACTCCTAAGCGGCAGTCTGCGGGCTCTAGATACCATTTCCGCGGCAAGATCCCGCTGAAGGTTCTCAGGTCGGCGGGTTGGGCAGCCTCGGTCACCCAGCGACCCGCCGAGTCTCCCTGGGGGGAGGAGAAAGGGGGAAGGTTTAGAAGAGCACTTCCGGTGAGCTATGTTGTTATGTATTCCTCCGCCGACGCCAACTGAGGAAGTAGCGCGATCTACTCGGCCGGTGGAGGGTGGTCACGTGACAGCGTCAGGCTCCGCCTCCCCGTCTTATTTGGTTATGGGCGTGAGGGCTTTGTGGAGACGTAAACATCTCTAAGTGGAGAGACCGTGTTGTCGTGTGCTGGCCATTTTATTACCTAGCAGGCCCTAGAAAAGGGTGGGGTAACTTGCTTGAGGTGTGAAGAGACGAAAAAAGGTGAAGTCAAGAGAGCACAGGATGGGGCATCCCAGTGGTAGATGGGCCCAGACCTGAAAGGGATGAAAAACGGGTCTGTGAGGGAGCGCCGCGGTGGTGGTGGTGGGGGGGGTCTGAGCAAGAACATGGCGGATTCCGGAACGCCCGCGGGCGTTGCGGCCTCTGCGCGGGGGGCGGGGTGATTAGGTCATAGAGCGGCTCCCAGCATTCTTTGCGGTGGCGGAGGCGGTCCAGAGTATAAAACCGGCTGCCGGGACGCGGCCGGCACCTCATTCATTTCCACCGGTCTCTGGTCATACAGCTCAGGTTCTTGTCATCGCCATCCCTCCTCTGCTGCCGCCCCCGCAAGGCTTCGCCGTCGCCGAAGCCACTTTTAGCGACTCGTCGCGCCTGATTCTCTTCACATCTCTTTCCGCCAACCGCAACCATTGACGCCATGTCGGGTTATTCGAGTGACCGAGACCGCGGCCGGGATCGAGGGTGAGTGTGGGAAAGGACCTGTCAGGCCCGGCGGGGGTGGGGATGGGAGGGCGGTGAGGGTGGAGGCCGGCGGGGACGTCGCGGAGGGAACTCGGTCTCTCAGTCTGCTCTTGGGCTCCTTCGTGGAGGGTTCCGGTCTGCTTGGTGTTTGGTTGGAAGGCGGTAGGCGAGGTTTGCCTGCTAACAGTCCTCAGGCCCGTGTCTTGTGGGGGCCGCGAGGAGCCGCCGCGGCCTCGTCGGCCATTTAGCGGCCGTTGGGGAATCGGAGGAGCGTATTGCGAGGGAAGGGAGGCGCGACGTTTCGGGGCGGACGATGGGGGCTGCTTTTAGGTGCCAGCTTTGGGGGAGGTGTTTTGGGATCGCCGGTTGTTGTGCAGTGTCGGGGGGCCGCTTCCGAAGCTGTCGGTGCGGCGGAGGGTGGCGGAATCGGCCATGTGGCCGAGTCGCGGACACAAAATGCCGGCCTCGGACATGGCGGCGGCGCCTTTGTTACCCCGCCCGGCGGAGGAGCTCAAAATGGCAGCGTCGAGAAAATGTGGCGCAGAGAGAAATGCGAGACAAAGGGGGAAGCGCCGCCCCAGCGGGAACGCCGCCCGGCCGGCTCCGCCCGGCCCGGGACTCCTCCCCCGGTAGCCCCCGGCTCCTCCTCCCTTTTTCCTCGCGTTATATAATTTTTGTTACCTTGATCTGGAGCGCTCGCGCGGGATTCCCCCGGCTTGGCTCGCCGGCCGAGCCCCCCGAGGGTCGTCCTTGTTCTGCCGCTCTCGCTGCCCGTGCTGTCCCGTTATCCGTGAACGCCAAAGCTTCTGGGCCTGAAAATAGCCGTAAAGTAAAAATAACCTTGTTCTTAAACTCCTCCTCCGTGTCCTCCTGGATACTTAATTCCTAAGCTCGTGGGAAAGATATCACAGCCGCAAGCTGTTGTCGCCTAGTAATCCAAACTTGGGGCGTTGGGGCGGCCAGTTTCCGACCTGATAAGTGCTGCTTGCTTGGCCTCAATAGTGTGTGCTTGAGACGAAAAGAAATAGTATACAGGGTGCCAGTTGTGGCTATCAAGATTATCGCTAAGGATCCCCTCATATGCTTCAGAAACTATTTTAGCCTTCGTTCAAGGAGTGTTAGTAAGGTGGTGTACACAAATCCATACCTACCTAGAGATTTTAAAACGTGAATATCTTTTTCCTTAATTACAGGTTTGGCGCACCTCGATTTGGAGGGAGTAGGGCAGGACCCCTATCTGGAAAGAAGTTTGGAAATCCTGGGGAGAAGCTAGTTAAAAAGAAGTGGAATCTTGATGAACTGCCCAAATTTGAGAAGAATTTTTATCAGGAACACCCTGATTTGGCTAGGCGCACAGCAGTGAGTAACTTACATGGCTTCCTTCATTGATTATAACTTAGAGTCACTTAGTAAATCAGAATCTGACAGTGTCTTAACAAGTAACTCAGCCTAGTCTTTCTGACTTGGAGACAGTGTGACTTTTCCAAACAGGACACTTTGAGTTTTCCTAGGTAAAACAGTTGAGTGTGATAGAACAGTTGGTTTTATGCTTTATGGGTTTTCATATGTGAATTCAGGTAAAAATGAACTCCACTTTAAAAGAGTTACTAAACTACAGGGGCGTGCAGGTACATATTTAGTTAGGGGAGGTGATTATGAGTCTGAAATGATAATTTGCTTTGCAGCAAGAAGTAGAGACATACATGAATATCTTTTTCCTTAATTACAGGTTTGGCGCACCTCGATTTGGAGGGAGTAGGGCAGGACCCCTATCTGGAAAGAAGTTTGGAAATCCTGGGGAGAAGCTAGTTAAAAAGAAGTGGAATCTTGATGAACTGCCCAAATTTGAGAAGAATTTTTATCAGGAACACCCTGATTTGGCTAGGCGCACAGCAGTGAGTAACTTACATGGCTTCCTTCATTGATTATAACTTAGAGTCACTTAGTAAATCAGAATCTGACAGTGTCTTAACAAGTAACTCAGCCTAGTCTTTCTGACTTGGAGACAGTGTGACTTTTCCAAACAGGACACTTTGAGTTTTCCTAGGTAAAACAGTTGAGTGTGATAGAACAGTTGGTTTTATGCTTTATGGGTTTTCATATGTGAATTCAGGTAAAAATGAACTCCACTTTAAAAGAGTTACTAAACTACAGGGGCGTGCAGGTACATATTTAGTTAGGGGAGGTGATTATGAGTCTGAAATGATAATTTGCTTTGCAGCAAGAAGTAGAGACATACAGAAGAAGCAAGGAAATTACAGTTAGAGGTCACAACTGTCCAAAGCCAGTTCTGAATTTCTATGAGGCAAACTTCCCTGGTAAGTGCTAATTTTGAGTTCCACCATCTCTTACTCGTTCACCCCTTCTTGGAATTAGAAGTTCTTATTAACGTGTTAATAACTGATTACAGCAAATGTCATGGACGTGATTGCAAGGCAGAACTTCACTGAACCCACTGCTATTCAAGCTCAGGGATGGCCAGTTGCTCTAAGTGGATTGGATATGGTTGGAGTAGCACAGACTTCTGGGAAAACACTGTCTGTAAGTTTGGGAGAACTCTTGAATTACTGGGAGATAAATGCCAGAGAAGATGAAATTGGAATAAAAAGAAACTACAGTATTCTAGTAATTTGTTTGGTCCTCTTCCTAATAGTATTTGCTGCCTGCCATCGTCCACATCAATCATCAGCCATTCCTAGAAAGAGGTGATGGGCCTATTGTAAGTATATCTTCAAAATTTTTGATTAGAAAGGTAACTGCAGAGAGTTACAGAACACATAGCAAGAAATTTTATGATTTGTGGTGCTTTTACATAGAGATTAATAGTCTCAATTTTTTGAGTATCATATAGCACAACTGGAAAAAGGATTTGCCAATATAAGCTAGTAATTTAAAACTAGTATCCACCTGAATTCAATCCCCAGCATGCACCTCCCCCAGAAAGTCTTTGTATCCAGATCTGTGCTAAAAAAGCTGTTCTTTCTGTAGTGTTTGGTGCTGGCACCAACTCGGGAACTGGCCCAGCAGGTGCAGCAAGTAGCTGCTGAGTACTGTAGAGCTTGTCGCTTGAAGTCCACTTGCATCTATGGTGGTGCTCCCAAGGGACCACAGATAAGGGATTTGGAGAGAGGTATGTGAAACTTAGGTTTCAGTGACAGAAGAGTCTGTACTGTAGTTACATTTAAGCGTTCACTGACAGTGATGAGAGCTCTACATATAATTATATTTATGCATTTAATTGAAGGTGTGGAAATCTGTATTGCAACACCTGGAAGACTGATTGACTTTTTAGAGTGTGGAAAAACCAATCTGAGAAGAACAACCTACCTTGTCCTTGATGAAGCAGATAGAATGCTTGATATGGGCTTCGAGCCCCAAATAAGGAAGATTGTGGATCAGATAAGAGTAGGCACCCTTATGTATTTTACCTTTACAAATTCTAATTTTAAATCACTCTTAAGGGTACAGTTTAACGTTCTCCCCCTAAATCTTTTAGCCTGATAGACAAACCCTAATGTGGAGTGCGACTTGGCCAAAAGAAGTAAGACAGCTTGCTGAGGATTTCCTGAAAGACTACATTCATATAAACATTGGCGCACTAGAATTGAGTGCAAACACAACATTCTTCAGATTGTGGATGTATGTCATGATGTAGAAAAGGATGAAAAGTAAGTATTAAATCTTAACTCTTTAGAAATCTTGTTTATACTATGGGAGAGCCATTTAAAAGTGACTGAGTTGTTGCAAACTGAGTATGTTCATTTAAATTTGGTCTACTGGAGTGGCTCATTGGTACAGTGCTTGCCTACCATGTGTTTGGTCCCTGGTCCTGCAAAAAAAAAAAGTTTTCCAATCCTTACCTAAAATCTCTTGGATCCTGTAGAAAATGGTCTATTAATAGTTTAGTATTTCTGTAGGAAAAGGAAATTTGTATTCCATGATTTACTAACAACTAAGGAAAGAATTGCTTTGATAAGTGGTTTGGTAAACATTTGCATTTTTTGAGTTGTGCCCATATGCATTGAACTTTGTTCCATTCACTATAAAAAAAATTTTTCTCCTTTTATCTCCAGACTTATTCGCCTAATGGAAGAGATTATGAGTGAGAAGGAGAATAAAACCATTGTTTTTGTTGAAACCAAAAGAAGATGTGATGAGCTTACCAGAAAAATGAGGAGAGATGGGTATGTGGGCTTCCTCTATTGAAGCAGAGCTTAGAAAAGGGCAAACACTTAGATCGGGAAGAATGGATTTCATTTATGGGGATCATGTGATAGGAGGTAAAACCATACATTACTTCTGGTGAACTTAGTGATTTGTGGCAAAAAAAAAAGAATTTGTTTTGGGTTTTAAGTGTGAGTATATTAAAACAACTTTTTTAATTTAGGTGGCCTGCCATGGGTATCCATGGTGACAAGAGTCAACAGGAGCGTGACTGGGTTCTAAATGGTAAGTATTTCAAATAAAATTTCATGGTTGTTGGCTTAGGATTTTTCCTGCTCAGATTAATGATCACATATATATATATATGCCTTCCTTTGTAGAATTCAAACATGGAAAAGCTCCTATTCTGATTGCTACAGATGTGGCCTCCAGAGGGCTAGGTTAGTACAAACTCGCATTCATGGCTTGGTTTCCCAGAAGATATCTATGTGGTTTTTTTTAAAGAAAGTTTATTGCTTTTCTTTAACCTCTGCATTTTTTCCAAGTTTTTTTCACATAAAGGTGCAGTCTTTGTGGCAAGGCCTAGGCATGACAATCGGAGGACTCGAGGGGATGGAGGACTAGTGATCGGCTGGCTGCTTCCAGTCGATTAGAGAGGTGAAAAGCTGAAAGTGTGCCAGTAATCTTCAAAGGGCAGAACATACCACCTCTGCCCCATAAACTGTTCTCTCCGGGGGGAAAAAATGGAAGTTACCCTCACAGTTCACTGCCGGTATTTCTTCTGTCCCATGCTTTGCATGATTGCCATGGTACAGCACTTTGTTTCAAACTGTTTACTGTGATCTGTGGGTCTTTGAGTTTCAGTGAGTTTGCTGAAATGTCGAAGAAATATTTCCAAACTTCAATGTTCAATGAAATTTTTGTTCAAGTTTGAAATGGAGAGAGCAGCTTTAAAAGGTACTAAGCCTTTTACAAATTGGTGAGTACTGGCACATGAGACCTAGAGCAGGAACAACTTCTCACACTTAGTCAGTGGGATAAAAAGCAGTGCTTTGAAAGATCCTCCCTCACCTACACAGTAGTCGTCATGTCGAGACCTGCCAGAGAGAGACACATTCTCAAGTGAATCCTGGCTTCTTGGAAGCGCTTGCCTAGACGAGACACAGTGCATAAAAACAACTTTTGGGGGACAGGTATGTTTTTCTTGCAGCTGCGGTTGTAAGGTCTTGGCAAGACAAGCAGTGTGGCCAGCATTTTGAACTTCTGATGAGTGTGTAATGCAAAGGACCTTGTACTTTTTTGTTTAAAGGTCCTCAAAATGAGCACATGAAGAGGTTGCTGTGAAACTTTTAAGTGGCCCTACTGCGCAGAAGCATTCAGATGTCACTTGATGAGCTGTAAGGGGACTTGCCAATAGGGGAATGTGCTAGAGAGAATACACATTCCTTTTGACAGGCTCTTACTCTTATCACTGGGCGGGTGATGACTTACACAGATGACATGTGCTTTGCTTTTTTGTTTTTTGTTTTTTGTTTTTGTTTTTTGTTTTTAAACCCTCAAATGGTATTCCTACAGGGAATGGATAACCATTTTAACTGTATTTTTTACAGCCCGTACCTTCTTGGGAATACAATTGTCTAACTTTTTATTTTTGGTCTGGCTGTTGTGGTGTGCAAAACTCCGTACATTGCTATTTTGCCACACTGCAACACCTTACAGATGTGGAAGATGTGAAATTTGTCATCAATTATGACTACCCTAACTCCTCAGAGGATTATATTCATCGAATTGGAAGAACTGCTCGCAGTACCAAAACAGGCACAGCATACACTTTCTTTACACCTAATAATATAAAGCAAGTGAGCGACCTTATCTCTGTGCTTCGGGAAGCTAATCAAGCAATTAATCCCAAGTTGCTTCAGTTGGTCGAAGACAGAGGTTCAGGTAAGATTAACCTTCAGTAAGAAATGTTGATAGTTTTGGGGTCACATGGTCTGCAAAGTACATTTTTAATGGGATGAGAGGGTAAGTAAGTTCTTCATTACCTAAGTTGAGAAATTGTAAATACACTTCAAACCTACCATGAATGGAGGTGCCTGATTTCTGTATGTGTTAACAGTTGTTTGTGCCAGACATAATTGATGAATTTGCAATTATTTTCTTGGCAGGTCGTTCCAGGGTAGAGGAGGCATGAAGGATGACCGTCGGGACAGATACTCTGCAGGCAAAAGGGGTGGATTTAATACCTTTAGAGACAGGGAAAATTATGACAGAGGTTATTCTAGTCTGCTTAAGAGAGATTTTGGGGCAAAAACTCAGAATGGTGTTTACAGTGCTGCAAATTACACCAATGGGAGCTTTGGAAGTAATTTTGTGTCTGCTGGTATACAAACCAGTTTTAGGACTGGTAATCCAACAGGGACTTACCAGAATGGTTATGATAGCACTCAGCAATACGGAAGTAATGTTGCAAATATGCACAATGGTATGAATCAGCAGGCATATGCGTATCCTGCTACTGCAGCTGCGCCTATGATTGGCTATCCAATGCCAACAGGGTATTCTCAATAAGACTTTAGAAGTATATGTAAATGTCTGTTTTTCATAATTGCTCTTTATATTGTGTGTTATCAGACAAGATAGTTATTTAAGAAACATGGGAAATGCAGAAAATGACTGCAGTGCAGCAGTAATTATGGTGCACTTTTTCGCTATTTAAGTTGGATATTTCTCTACATTCCTGAAACAATTTTTAGGTTTTTTTTTGTACTAGAAAATGCAGGCAGTGTTTTCACAAAAGTAACTGTACAGTGATTTGAAATACAATAAATGAAGGCAATGCATGGCCTTCCAATAAAAGATATTTGAAGACTGAATTAAGTGGAAATTGTACTTTATTTTACGTATATAATGTCATGTAAAACTGCTTAAGATGGTATGGTCTTTTTTTTAATCTTAAAAACAAGTGACTGCTTTCCATTTTTTGATTTGGGATGGGGGAATCAGAAGGTCCTTCTTACAGTGATCTATTGATAATGCAAATTTTTAAAGGAGATTGACTTAGGTAAGTTTGTAATTCTAGGCTAAATTGCATAAAAGCTTTGTCAGTAGTTTGCAACATCAGAGTTCTTTTAATAAACCTATTTTCTTGTAAGTAAGAATGATTAAATGAAACCTTAGGACAGAAAGTAGTCAGCTATTAAAGAGAGGCAACAACATGGATGACTTTATTCTTTGGCAAAATTCATAATTTGAAGCTCTGAATACCTTTTTCAAGAAAATTTTGTTAATGCTCTTGGCTATATACATTGTGAACTACCAAAATGAACAAAACTGAAAGACTTGATTTTGTCCAAGAGCTAAGTTTGAGTAACAATTTACACAGTATCCTTCGTGCAGGTTATTTGCAGATTGTAGTCTTCACAGACATCCCTGGGCACGCACTTGTTAGACCTGGGAGTCATGAATGTCTCTACAATAATTCAGGGAATTCTAGAGGTCTTCAAACTGTAAGGTCTAATCATAATACAAGGGGAAAAGAAACCTCATAAAAATTAATGGTTAATCAGAAGGTAGCCATAACCAAAAGCACAGTGAATACAGTACAGGTCTTCACATTAAGTTAAACATGAACTCAATGCTATAGAAAGATCCAGGGGATAGTTTTAGATTTAACTTTGGCCCACTATCCTAATAGTGTATTTCAGTAATGGCTAGAAGTAAGTCTGAATGTCTTCCCAGAAAGTTTGGTGTATGTTTTGCCCAGGACAAGGGAGGTTCAGGACACCTCACTTAAATTCTCATTTTTTAAACTGAGGCTTTGGTGTTTATGCCGAAACCAAATTAGTATATGCTTGGGGTGGGGGCTGGAATGAGGGGAATGGTGGTTTCTAGGGCTAACATCGAAAACTGATTCAGCCTCTAGTCCCTGAGTGGTTTTCAATGGCATGGTTAGTCAATTTTTTTTTTAAACTAGAAGGTTTTGGGATAGGTTGGAGCATTTATTGCATATTTTACTGTCAATGTCTTAATGTGGGCCTTTTAATTTGTAAACATTTATGGAAATGATTGTGGGGCTGTGGGAAAAAACATACCTATTTACTTTTGAAGTTTTAAAAGACAGTCCACTTTTTAGCATGTGTGTTGTGTCCAGCCTGTGGTTGTCTTAACTAATAAATGTGATTTTTTCTCCCCATTCTCTCCTTCATTTATTTGCGTAGAGGCCTGTTCCCTGGTGTGAGTTCCTGAGTGGCAAGCATCTTTGTAAATTATGATGAGACTGCACTCATTAACCATTGCATGCACTTGTGAGGAATTCTTAATCTGTCCTACAGCATCTTACCAACAGTCACGCATTCTATGTATTATACATTAACTTTATTATTAAATTACTCTTACCTCTTGGAAGTTTAGAGTAAGGTATTGTTCATTTTTAATCTTACAGGGTTTCCATAACCATATAGGGAAGCTATTAAGAAACAGGCTTTTGGCTGGCAAGGTGGCTCAAGCAGTAAGGGCACCTACCTAGCAAGCATGAGGTCCTGAGTTCAAATCCCAGTACTGAAGAAAAAATTTGGACTCAACCATTACACACTGTATTTCTACGGTACTTGGGCAATTTTAAGGTCACAAACCTGCATAGGTGTGGTCATGGATCTGTTTAAAACAGGTTTATAAAGCACCAGAGGTGAGAGGTTGGCTTACACACTAGGAATTCTTATGCAGCATGAGGAAAATAAGGCTGCTGGGCTCCTCAGCTGTTTGCTGGCCGTCCAGTAGGTTCCCAGGGGATGCAGGTAAGGACTGCGTTCTGGGAGTCAAGTGCCTGAAACCCTTCGCGTTTTATGCCCCTCGCCAAAGGTGCACCGGAGGAGTGACTGCATTAATCTGGAGTTGATGGTTGCTACGGGTTAAAACCATCATAAAGAACTAAAGCTTACTCAAAATGGGGACCAAATTTTCATTTTAGTAGGCATCTAAAGTTGAGAAGTGTTATTTATTTTTTTTTTCTTTTATTATTCATATGTGCATACAAGGCTTGGTTTATTTCTCCCCCCTGCCCCCACCCCCTCCCTTACCACCCACTCCACCCCCTCCCGCTCCCCCCCTCAATATCCAGCAGAAACTATTTTGCCCTTATCTCTAATTTTGTTGTAGAGAGAGTATAAGCAATAATAGGAAGGAACAAGGGATTTTGCTGGTTGAGATAAGGATAGCTATACAGGGCATTGACTCACATTGATTTCCTGTGCGTGGGTGTTACCTTCTAGGTTAATTCTTTTTAATCTAACTTTTTCTCTAGTTCCTGGTCCCCTTTTCCTATTGGCCTCAGTTGCTTTAAGGTACCTGCTTTAGTTTCTCTGAGAAGTGTTATTTAAATAAGAACCACTAACTTTAATGGGTTACCAAGAAAGTGGAGGAAGATGCTGAACGATGGCTATGGGGCAGCAGTAAGAAGTAGTTGGGAACCCTTATCAGTACCGCTGAGGAATAACCAGAGGGCAACAATGGGGGCGGGGGAGCAAGAGCTACGTTTGAGACGCCAAACGCGAAATACCGCGAGTTACCAAGGAAGAGCTCTAGAGGTTGGCTTCTGCCGTGGCTGGCGGGGCGTGTCAAGGAGGCTACGACCAGAACGCAGTGACGCGCTGCGGAGGCGTGGCCGTCGTGCGCACGTCCACTTCCGTCGCGCATGCGTCCTGAGCTCCATTGTGGCGGTTTATTGGGATCAGGAAGTTGATGGAGTATTATGGTCTTTAACTCCTGAAGGAGATGCGCTGTAGTGCAGTCATCAGAGCCTACCATAAAGTCTGCAGGTGTCTGTTGTCTGGGTTTGGGGGTCGAACAGATGGAGGGCAGCCGGAGCGGTTGCCGGAAAGGAGTAGCTGTCCGGAAGGGCGCCCGAGGTCCCACGCGGAGCTTCCTGGGACAGCGAGCAGACTGTAGCCCCTGAGCCTGCCGAGGGGAGCGAGGCGCTGTTAGAGGTCTGTCAGAGAAGGCACTTTCTTAGCGGAACCAAGCAGCAGCTTAGCCGAGATTCTCTTCTGAGCGGGTGCCACCCCGGCTTTGGGCCTTTGGGCGTAGAGTTGCGGAAGAACCTGGCGGCAGAATGGTGGTCCTCGGTGGTGGTGTTCAGGGAGCAGGTCTTTGCGGTGGACGCCCTCCACCAGGAACCCGGCCCTTCGCTTCCCGGGGACAGTGCCTTCAGGTTAGTTTCTGCAGAAACTCTACGCGAAGTCTTGCAAGACAAGGAGCTGAGTAAGGACCAGCTAGTAGCATTTCTTGAGAACTTACTAAAAACTTCTGGGAAACTACGGGAGAATCTTCTTCACGGTATGGTTCTTCACGATTTCATGCTTCAAAACAAGTTTGGGATGGAAAGGCAGTGTCGCTCGAGTTTGAGGATTGCAACTGGCCCTTTATTCCTATGCAAAGAAAGTAGTATATTAATCTTGCTCTACCTTGGAGCACGCTGGCCATGAAATCATTGCTGTTCCTTAGAGAATCTGTCCTCAAGGAATATAAAGCTGTCAGTTTTACGAAGCGACCCATATTGAGCAGCTCTAGAATTAAGAGTTTCAATCATGTGTTTGAAACATCTGTTCATCGATACCAAAACGTTTACAAATACTTCCACACTTTTCGATTTTACACATAATTAATCAAGAGCTCATTTTTCTAGTGCACAAGGAAAATGCCTCCCCATGCCCATTTTCCTTCCTGAAAACCTATTGCTTGACCCTTTATGTAATTTTTTAGTTTGCCAATTACAAAATTTTAGTTTTATAGGTTTTTCTTTTCTTCTCCGCCCCTGCCCCCCGCCCGCCTTTGAGACAGTCTCAGTATGTAAGTAGTATGTATGTCTAACAGCCTGGCCTTGAACTCACTGTGTATCCCAGGTGGTGCTGCCATAGGTGGTTATGAAGTAAACACACGGTAATTTGTAAGGCTTTGTTGACCTTAAAAGTCAAACACAACATAACACACTGAAAAAGCACTGAGGTTCTTCACAAGACAGACTTGCTGCCTCAGGGTCTCTCATCTTTGTGAAATGCTGCCATTTTGATAGAGAAAATTAAAACATCCTAAACGTCCAGGAAAGCTTTGCTTTGGAGGTATTAAAATCACTGCTCATTTACCATATCCCAAAACAAATCAGTCTTTTTTGCTATCTCTGTTAAATGAAACCACTACTACTGTTGTACAGATTTAGAAAATAAATAAGACTTAGCTGTCTTATTCATTCAAGCATCTATTTATGTAATTTTTCTAGCCTTTAGAAATCTACCAAATTGCCAGATCCTCTGGTTGTCTAGTGTTTTTAGGTTAGTTACCAAATTTGTCTCTGCCCGTTGCTAGTGCCCGTCCTCTCTTCTGTCCATGTGTGCAGTTATGCAACCTTTCATTATGAACAGCTTTTTAAAAATTCTTAGCCATTCTGTCTCCAAGTACAATTACTGGCCCATTTTCTTCCCTCTGTAACTAATTACACATTAGCCCTCCTCCCCATCTTATCATCAATCTCTTGAGCCACTCCCCCCCAGCCCTCTTCACCTTTCTTGAACACGTCATTAATCACACTTTTAAGTCCATATTTAAAAACTCAAGTAACTTTTCTTTGAAGTTTTGGTCATTTGGACTTCTGATAGTTTCAGGAATTTGTGTATAAAAAGTTGTAGAAATATATTGAAGCTTTAAATAGTGGTTTCTTCTTCCTGGGATGACTGACTTTTTGCCTCTGGAAGGCAGCAAAAGAATGGGGGCTTATTTTGTTAACACAATCAGGGACTAAGCTTATTAGAGGCTGGGTTTTAATCTTTTCACTTCACCTCTGTTCTAGAGTGGAGCTCTGTAAGTGTTCCAAAGGAGACCTTGGGGTGTTTACCAGGTCTTTTCTCTTTGATGAGCCAAGAACTACAATTTTTGTACTTCCCAGTCCCCACACGCATCAGGAATTGCTGCTCAGCATTTCACCTTCTCAGTTGATATTTGAGAATTTGGAAAATAGCACTAAATGTTGTTTACCTCTCATTTCTTCCCTGCTCTCCAGATTTTGGACCCTCAAGTTCCTTGCTGTCTTGGTAGCTTTCGTATCTTTAAGCAGATTTTAAAATATTTTTGGGCCAGCCTTTTTCATTATAAACAACCTAGTCTACCCAAATCAAGTAACACACACCACTGTCTGTAATTTAGTGGATGTACCTACATGCAATAAAGAGCAACAAAGACATTTTAACTTTTTCTTGATTTATTCTAAGAAATGTTGGAATTATTCTGAAGCTATTTCATGTACGTTAATGACACATCAAATACATAGGTTAATGGTATTAGAACCAAGATTTTTACTGTATAAGAAAAATATAAAAGCAAGGATAAAATGTAATGTTAAATATGAGCTGGTTATATCAGTATGAACTCACGATTTTAAAAATACATATTTCCTAGCTTTCTTCATTGAAAGGGCATAGAAGCAATGACAGTCATAGCACTGAGCACATCTAGTTCCCAGATCTTGGTTTCTAAAATGAACCAGTGCATGGAGAAATGGCTGATTCCAGGTCTGGGGCAGGGAAAACACAAGGTAAGTTTGGAACACTTAATGGTGCTAGAAAGCCAAGAGTTGCTTGAAGACTAGTGGGACACAAAGGGACACGGCTGCTGGCTTGAAGAGAGCTACCACTTGCTAAATTTGGCACGAAAAGAAATGAACATTAAAACAAATATTGATGGCAGTGGATCATGTTAAGAATTTGAGAGTTCATAGAGCTGGTCAAAAAATAACTGAAGCTGGGGTAGGGGGAAGGGGCAGAGAAAACTTACATTTTTTACAGAAACTGTACAATAAATGTAGAAGGAAGAGTAGAACAATGACCACCTTACAATTTTGCAATCCCCGGTATAATTGATTCAAGCAAGGATCATCTTGAAGATTCTAAAATACTGAGTGACAGATTTGAAGGGGCAGGATATTGTTGGGCAGTAGATATTTACTACTTTAACAAAATAATCAAATTTGGTTTTGCCAGTAGTGCAGTACTATGTTCCTCCTGTTATGATGCAACAGCATTATATGCATCAACAGTATATTCCCACTAAACAATAATTAGCTGCAATTAAATCGTAAGGAAACAATTGGACAAATCCCAAGCATAAGATTATTTGTGACTAACCTGGACTCCAATCAAGAGTCAATGTTATTGAGCTGGGTGTGGTGGCACATGCACTGGCGAGGTGGAGGCATGTCAGCTTGGGGTACATAGAGATTTCCAGGTCAGTCTGGACTATCTATGTATAGCAAGACTCTGTCTTAAAAACAAAATCTATGTCATTGGAAGCAAAGTTGATGGGAAGGAACCGGGAAATGTTCTCAATTGAGAGGTTGAAGAGATCTAATCAGAATGTAATACGTGAACCTTCATTAGAGAAGAGCAAAAATGATATTTTGAGTGACAGTTGGAACAAATAAAATACCAGTCCTGTTAGATTATCTGGCATTATGGTTAAGTTATGTTACAGTAAATAGTATATAGAAAATGATTTTTAGGAGATGCATGCTGAAGTATTCAGGAGTGAATACAAAAAAGAATATGTGGCAAAAATGTTAATTGATAAGTAGGTGAAAGGTGTACAGTTGTGTGCAGGTGTCTATTACACTGTTCTTTCAACTTCCTTATAGATTTGAAAATCCTCAAGTTTAATTGTTGGGAAACTACCTAACTAAGTGGTAATTAAGATCTACCCATATTAGCTCCATGCTGCTTGTACTGCTGTGTTAATGTTAATTTTGTTTTTTGAGACAGGGTCTCTTGTGTAACACAGGCTGACCTGGATCTTGAGAGCCTCTTCCCTCAACCTCTCCCAAGTGCTGGATTACAAACACGTACCACCACACCTAGCCCTAACATTACTATGCTAGATATATGTCTGTAAAATTAACAGAAACACTTTGGGTATATGGAATATATTTGTACAATGATTGATTTGTCTTTTCACAGGTGCCTTAGAGCACTATGTTAGTTGCCTGGATCTGGTAAACAGGAGGCTACCTTATGGCCTCGCTCAGATTGGAGTGTGTTTTCATCCTGTTTGTGACACTAAGCAGATACCTCATGGTGTTAAAAGGTACAAAAATGTGAAAAATAACCTGGTCTTGTGTTGAAATAGTCATTTCTACTTTGGGATAGATTATAAATTTTCAGATAAGCTAACTTTGTGATATATTTAATATTTAAAGAATTGGTGAGAAGACTGAAGCTTCATTGGTATGGTTTACTTCTGCAAGGACTTCAAGCCAGTGGCTTGATTTCTGGTTGCGTCATCGACTCCTATGGTGGAGACAGGTACTACAATAATAGCTAATAGGTGAATTGTATTAATGTGTCAGAGTTAGTGCTTCCATATTATAAATGAAATTTGATTTGATGTAGCTGTGTTATTTTTGTTGTTGTTTGTGGCTTTGTACAAGTTAGCTAGCCATTTTCCCCCTGAACCTAACACCTCCTCCCTATTATGTTTGTAAGAGACACTATAATAAATCAGTAAATACAAATAAAAAGCTCTTTGCAATGGTTTTTATTGTTCCAGATAACAGGACTACTTTGGTAAAGATTTTTGTCTCTTTTTGTGATCCTGGGGTTTGAACTCAGGGCCTACACCTTGAGCCACTCCACCAGCCATTTTTTGTGATGGGTTTTTTTCAAGAAAGGGTCTCACAAACTATTTGCCCAGGCTGGCTTCAAACTGTGATCCTCCTGATCTCTGCCTCCTGAGTAGCTAGGATTACAGGTGTGAGCCTGGTAAAGATTTCTTGAGCTCAGATACTTTGCTAATGGCATTTATGTTTAAGGTAGAGCTCAAACCTCTCACCTAGCGTTCCTGACTGGTACAGAATTTTACCCTTGCCCACTCTTTTTATTTGAACTCAGGGCCTCACACTTACTAGGCAGGCACTCTACCACTGAGCCACTCTGCCAGCTCCCCTTGCCCACACTTAACAGTTTCATCTTTTTCTTTCTGCCTCCACAAACTGTCCATGTTTGGGTCTATAATTTATAATGATTAGTATGCACTAAAGAGAAGAGTTGAAGTAAGTATTTTTGTCTTGCTGTTTTACCTTTCCTCAACTTGTTAAAACCCCTCAAGTCACCTAAGCTAAATGGAAAATTTGCAAATAACCACGCACTTCACAGAAGGGGAGGAATCTGACCATACGATGCTTGCTTTATCTCATTTAGTTCTTGGTTAACGTCTCTTACTAATCAGCCACTCGAAGAGTAGATAGCATCAATAGTTTTTCTCAGTCTTTAAGAATCAAAAACCAGTATGTTTGGCAGTATATTCACTTAGTTAAATTTCACAATTTTTATTTGGAACTTGCCAGGTTTTAATCCATTGCTAGATGAAAAGGCTCAGGCAACTTTAATTCTTAGAGATAATTATGAAATTAGAGATACGTTAACATTTGTTTAATAAATTAACAAGACAATGTAAACTTTCTTTTCCAGTTTGCCACGAGTCCGTCCAACTTCAGCAGCAGTGATTGTCAAGATGAAGAAGGCCGAAAAGGAAACAAACTTTACTACAGTTTTCCCTGGGGAAAGGAGCCGATAGAGACCCTGTGGAACCTAGGAGATCAAGAACTCTTAGACATGTATCCTGGAAATGTGTCTAAATTACACGTATGTTTTACCTCTAGCTTCTGTGTGTTCTTTACCCAGATTCTCTGTGGTCATCTCTGGATCATTTGAGAATAAGTATAGACATGGTGTCACATGACCCCTTAATATTTCTTTGTGTATCTCCAGATGACATCCACACAACCACAGTGCAACCATCCAAGTCAGGAAATTACCAGTAACCCATTACTACTTTCCATTCCACAAAACTCTTGGAATATAATTGATCATCCCAATAATGCCCTTTACAGGTCCGGGATCCAAGCCAGGATTGTGTATTTCATGTAGTTATCATGTTTCTGGTTTCCTCCAAGTGAACAGTTCCTTTTGTCTATCTTCCATAACCATGACGCTTTTGAAGAACGCAGGCTAATTGCTGTGTAGAATGTCCCTGGGTGTGGATTTGTCTGCTGTCTCCTCCTCATGATTTATGCATTTTTGCCAGGAATAGCACAGAAGCCTGCTGTCCTCTTCTCGGCATCATTGGAGGCACGTGATGTGAATGTATTACTCAGGTCAACTTTGATGATTTGGTTAAGACCATGTCTGCCAGGGTTCCCCAATGAAAAGCTAATATTTGTTTCATATTTACTGAAGAGTATTGATAAGTCTTTGTGAGCAGATACCTTAAGACTATTTACATAACCTCTTTGTCACCAAACTTTGATTTTATAGGTATAGTATCCACTGAGGATTTTTGCCCAAATAAGTCATTACTTATCAAGTTTGCTGAATGGTGATTTTGTTTGTATTTTAGTTTGCTATTCCTATCATTCCTTTTAGATTTGTTGGTCAGCATACTTTAGGGTAGAGGCTTCCCTCTTGCCCCCTTTTTTAGTTTTTATATTGGTATGGACTCACAGATTCCTAGTTTTCTCAGAAGGTTACAGTTTGTTACTGTCGTTATTTATTTTGGTACTCAAATTATCCTAGACTTGGCCAGTCCTTTTGCCATAACACCATCATTCTCCGTCTAATAGCACTGCCTTCCTTTCTATAACAGCAAATTATTTCAAAATCATCTTTTGTTTTCTTGACCTAGTTGTGAAGGCAGCTATTTCTCTAAGGAGCCTTGATTGCAATTAAAGGAAAATGTATCCTTATAACAGGATACCATTGCTTCTAGGCCCTCTTGTGGACGCAACAAGGAAATTTTGTATATGATTACATACATATTTACATACACATTCACCTATGTTTATGTCTGTATCTGTCTATTAAAATCTATGAGTTCATACTAGTTCTTCAAATTTTAGTACAATGACACAGGGTTTATCCTAGCTTTCTCTCTTTCCAAATTTATAATTCAAGGTTGGGATTGAGGCTCAAATGCCTAGTATGCACAAGACCCTCAATTCAAATCCAGTCAAAATCAATCCGCCAAAAATAAATATTCTTTTTTCTGACAGTGAGAAACCTGTCTGTATCTTTAGTGTATTTATTTTTCATTTCTTGGGGCTGGTGGTGTAGCTCAAGTGGTAAAAGTGCCTGCCTAGAAAGCGTGAGGCCCTGAGTTTAAATCCCAGTACTGCCAAGTTTTTTTTTTAAGTGTACAATTTATTTTTCATTTCTTGTATGTAACCAAACTTCCTACTGAGCTTAGGCAAAGATCAGCTCCAGATAAACCAGTCCTTCTAGATCCTCCTTGTGGATGGATGTTTGGTCTAGGAGAAGGAAGAAGGAAGTGAGGCTAGCTTGAAAACTTGATCCAGGACATGCTACTCTCTCCTCTAGATTCCCCCCTCACCAAGTGTTCTCACCAGAATGTAGAGAAGGAAAGGTGGATAGAAAGCTTGGCCCCGAATATTTGGCCTCCTTGCTTCGCTTAAAGTGGATTTTATCAAAAGTTTGGCCCCAGGCTAAGTGTACCAGCCAGCTGACCAAAAGCTCAACCCTGGCACAAAGGAAAAAAGCTTAATTTACTTCATAAAGTAAAACAATTTTCAAAAATTAAAGCAGGTAATATTCCTTTAAAGAGACCTTGTCTTCCTAGACTTTATCCATGTGTACAGGTAGAACTGCTGTACCACTCAAACACTATAATAACGAAAACACAGTACAGATTGAGTATGTTGTCTGAAATGACAGACTAGAAATGTTTTGAATTTGGATTTCTTCAGATTTTGGAATATTTAAATATACATAGTGAGATAGCTTGGTGATGCACCCAAGTCTAGACACAAAATTCATTCATATTTCATGTACACCTTTTTCACATAGCCAGCAGGTAATTTTATATAATATTTTTAGTGTACCCACGTTTTGACTTTGATCTATCACATGAGGTCAGGTGGGGAGTTTTCTACTTTAGTGTCAGTGGGGCTCACAAAGTTGAATTTGGAACATTTTGGATTTTCAGATTAGGAATGCTTGATCTGTAGTTACTATAAAGAGTAGAAAGTAGATGAATATCTAAATATGAGTAAGGTAACTAATAAAAGGCTTACTCATAAACATTTCCCATGTCTCCTCCACCTTCACACATCATTTGGTGTATTCACCCTTCAAATGAAATCTTACTTGTTTAACCTTCATAGTTAAAGACCACCAAAACCTTGTGAGTAGGGATTTTTTGTGTAGTGGCTATTACTCTCTTACTGTATTCCTTATGGAGTAATTTTCACAAATGATTTTCTACTGCAGAATTTTTACTCTTCCCTGAAATTGCTCTTCTGTTTCCATAGTTCACAAAATTATTCATTAGTTGAACATGTAAAATATTAAGTAGAATTCCTGCCATGTAGTGTCCTTTTTTGAAAGGTTTCTTATGTTATTGTGTGTTTGTTTTTGTTAACTTTACTGTTAAAATCTATATTTCTGGAGAGATTATTTTTAGAAAACAATAAAGCAGATCATTAAAGTCTGAAGAACAGTTAACATTGAGAAATTTACTCTGAAAGGCATGAGAAATCAGGTGTTCTGAGAACAGTTGACATTCTTAATCAGTTTTTTAAGAACTAGAAACATTAAAGCATTCTTAAATATGGTTTAGTCTTTCTTTGGCTCAAATGGCACCACAGAGTCTTGTAGTGCCTCGGGATTATCTTATTAAATGTCAATTCTATAAACGTGTGAAAAACATCAGTTAGTAAAGTCAGAATAGAATCACAGGTACCAGAAAGCTTACTGCCCTTGGAGGACAAGATTTCACTAACCTTTTAGATATCATATAAGTTAAAACTGTTATATTATCAGTGCATGTCTGTGGTGATGAATAATGTACTATGTGCTTGATCATGAATAATCAGTAGTTGAGGAGTTGAGATTTAGGTTGTTTTTTACGTATTAAAAAAAAAACCTCATGATTGTCCAGGTGAACAATGGTAATGGGGGAAAAAGAATGAAGGTAGAAAGGAAGAACTGTGTAAACTATTTTTTACAGGCGTTCTAGTGCATCTCTGTGATCTCAGCACTCTCCCAAGGTAGGAGGCTTGCGAGTTTGAGGCCAACCTGGGCTACATAGTGAGAGTCTCAAAAGTAAAAAAAAAAAAAAAGTTTCTTTTCCAAATATTAGCTGTCACTTAGAAAACATTGAAAAGATAGTAACACCTAGATCGTACTCCAGCTGAACTAGTTCATCCTCTCTAGGAGTGGAACGCAGGTATGTGAGTGTAATGTGGGCCAGCTGAGAACCCACAATTCCTGAGGTTACCTTCTCGTCTCTGGGCCCAGTGCCTCACATAAGCCTGGCTCAGAGTAGATGCTTTGTAAGATGAATTTGTCGTTTTTTTCTGATTGCGTAAGTCTAAAATACATAATTTAAAGAAAGAGTTCTGCTAAATGATACTTTATTTTGTTCTTTCCTGTGAAGGGCCGAGATGGGCGGAAAAATGTGGTTCCTTATGTTTTATCAATAAACGGGGATCTAGACGTAGGCATGCTGGCTTACCTCTACGATTCCTTCCAACTCACAGAGAATTCCTTTTCAAAGAAGAAAAACCTCCATAGAAAGGTACCTTTGATATTGCAAACAGTAGACTTGGAGAATGAAAAGTGTGGGTTTTTCTCCTCCTTTATGTTAATTGTGCTTCCCTGCCCCCTCTCCCTCATTGCTTAGGTGTTGAAACTCCACCCTTGCTTGGCCCCTATGAAGGCTGCTTTGGATGTGGGAAGAGGCCCAGCAGCTGAGCTCAGACAGGTGTGCTAAATGCGTCTGCATGCTGTTGATTTAATTGTAATCATCAGCGTGCCACTTAAGTTTTAGTTTGACTTACTTGCTTTTTAAAATGTTTGAATGAAATAATGAACTATGAATAAATGGTTAATTATAGATAAGCTGAAGTATAGCATAATTAAGAAACTGAATACAAGTCATGCCCATACTTTCATTTTTTAGTAAGCAAAACATTTGTAGATATCTAATGACATCTTTCCCTTTTAACTTAAGATTTGATACTTGTCAATATAAGCAAAGGTTTTAGATTGATAATTTTTGATTTTCCTAATCTACTGATTCTAAATTATTAAATATTATTGCAAAAAGCCAGGGAGCTGGTTTTCATCTCTTTCCTGACACTTCTTCAACAGTCCTCATTTCTGTCTCCAGGACTCAGACCTCCATAGGACCTGAGTGGGGACCCTGAAAAGATTTAGGCCTGGCGTGTCTCCCAGCTTTCCCTGGCTCTTGTGAGAGGTCTGGGAAAGTGGGTGATAGTGAACCCAGCAAAGAGAAGACAATGGCTTGTTTCCCCTGGGTTGTAGCAGTGCCCCAGACACCCTTGTCACAAGTTCCTAGGGCTCAAAAAAGAGTGCCCTAGTTCACCTCTCCTCCACCCATCACCCTCCTCCCCTGGGGGCTATTTGGTAATGTCTGGGGGCAATTTTGGTTGTAACAAGGTGGTGGTGGCAGTGGGATGATGCTGCAGGCACCTAATGACCAGGGACGCTGCTACAGTGGCTGTGACCCAGAGCCCAAAAGTGATAGGCCTGCTCCAAGCCTTAGTTCCATATGGTGTAGGGGGTTTTAAGTTTTGCCTTGCCATTGCTTGTTAAGAAAACAGTAAAGTTTACCATGTCTGTTATTTATTATTACTATTGGTGCTAGAATTGAACCCAGAGCCTCCAGCATGCTAGGCATGGTACTCTACCACTGAGCTATGCACTTGTTACTGCTTTTATGTTTTGAATCAGGCTTCTGTCTCCGGCTTTACACTAATATCAATCTCTTGAAATATTTCCCATAATTGGCTTCTGGAATGCCACACTGCTGGTTTTCTTAGACTTTTTCCTTCCTGATTGTTCCTTCTTTTCCTGACATGATAGTACAGCCCTAAGACACAATTTTCACCTTTCCCAGGAGTTTAATTTAGCAGAGCTCTTTGGACCTAATGTTTTTTTTTCTAGTAGAATCTGGTATGGTTTGTTAATGATGATAAAAATTCTTGTTTGGTATAAAAATAACAGAAGTTTTGTATTTAGCATTTAGAAAGTATACAATACATAAATTATAAACATTAATCCCACACAACTGAATGATTTTATGTCCATTTTAGAGATTTGAAGGTGATTTTTACAAAAATAGGACACTGTAGCTACTATTATTTCTTTCATATTTGAAGTCTTTTTATTTTCTCCAGGTTTGTCAAGGGCTATTTAATGAATTGCTGGAAAATGGCATTTCTGTGTGGCCTGGTTATTTGGAGACTGCACAGTCTTCCTTGGAACAGCTCTATTCAAAGTAAGAATTTTCTTCCTTGTCATTAAAAAATGTGTTTCATCTGGGCGACAGTGGCTCACAGCTGTAATCCTGGCTACTCAGGAGTAGAGATCAAATGGTTCAGAGCCAGCCCTGGGCAAATAGTTCTTGAGATCCTATCTCAAAAAAAAAAAAAAAAATCACAAAGCAGGGCTGGTAGAGTGGTTCAAGCAGTAAGAGCACCTGCCTAGCAAGCATGAGGCCCTAAGTTCAAATCCCGGTGCTGCAAAAAAAGAAAAGTTTTATTCAGAGCATTTGCTTATGTGTCTCCTTAGTTTGTGATAATAGAAATGAATCTTTACTAAATATATATGCATGTATATATTACATATAATTTAGAGGAGTTCCTCGCTTTCCCTTTTATAGAACCACATGCCCTTAACTAATTACAGTAGCAGGGAACAGTATTCGGCAGGTGTATTTGAGCACATGCTCCATGCAATTCCAAGACTTAATGTCGTGAAGTATGTATGCCTCAGTTTATCAGGGATGAAGTTAGGTACATGTAATGCACTTGTTGAATGAGGACTGAAGGACTGTGAATGAAATGCCTGCCTTTGCTGGCATTGTGGTTCATCCAAGGCTAAGCAGAAGAGAATTGTACCCTGGTCAATTAGAACAAATCATCTCAGTGATTGGCACCTCTGGTCACCAGTTGTTCAAGATCAAAACTGGTGCTGGCTGACCATCCATAACCCAGATATCTGAAATGCTGACATTTTCCAACAATTGAGAATTCCATACCTGACCTTGTGACAGGTTACAGTCAAAACAGAACAAGGCTAGTAGAGTGGATCAAGTGGTAGACTAAGCGCCTGCCTAGTAGCATTTGTGAGACCTTGAGTTCAAACCCCAGTACTGCAAAAAAAAAAAAAAAAAGATACACAAAAAAATGACCTTCAGCCTATGTGTATAGGCATATGTGAAATAAAAATAAATTTTGGGTTCATACCTGGGTCCCTCCCCAAAATATATCATTATGTAGATGAAACTATTCCAGAATCCAAAACACTTCTGGTGTCAACCATTTGTGATAAGGGATATTCAGTGTGTATCATCTTTATTATCCCCCACCTCTAGTCCACCCCCAATTGCCATCAGCTTGCCCCTAGATAGACCTTAGCTCCTCATTTCTCTGTCTTTGCAGCCATTGCTCAAGTTAAGGTTGCCAGTATCCTTGCCTGGATTATTGAAACAATCTCCCGTTTCATGAACTGCTGATTTGGGGGAGTAGGAGGGGTTGGTGCTGGGAGTTGAACTCAGAGCCTCATACTCTACCACTTAAGCTTCACTCCCCGAGTCCTAAATTCTGATTTTAATTGCTAGGTGTGGTAGTATACACCTATAATCCCACCATCTTGGGAGGCTGAGACAGGAGGATGGCAAGTTCCAGGCAAAAAAAAGAAAAAGGAAAAACCTATATTGGACTGGGGGTATAGCTCAGTAGCAGAGCCCAAGCCCCTGAGTTAAATCCCCAGCATTGTAGGGGTTGGGGGGAAGAGCAGCTAATGGTTTTACAATATATAAAATGAAGGGGTAGACAACTTCGTAGTCCTCACAGTTTCTAAAATCTAATTCTTTGAGTCATGTGGACGTGATCAAATTATACTTGTTCTTTACATGGTCTAGGCTTTCTAAGTGTCTTAATGCACTTAGATACAGCTGTGAACAAAAGTTTCTTGGTCTTGTGAAGAATCTTAAATTCTAGTGGGACAAAATAGACAATAAGCAATGAAACCTTTATACAATGAATATATGCTAATTTTTAAAAACCCGAAATAGACAATAACTAATTAAATAAAGTAGTCCCTCCTGGACTCCTACAAAGAAAATGAATATTTAATGAGATAGAGTGACTTGGTAAGCAGATAGGTAGTGTGGATATATTCAATGATTGGTGAACTAGAAACTGCAAGTTCTTAAGCTATAAACAAATCATGAATTTGATGTCATTTGTTGTATGCTAGGTCTGTATTATAATATGGTTTATATATATTAATATATATATATATATAATATGGTTTATATATACAGTCAAATTCCAAAGGCTGAGGTTACTCTGAGGTTCAGCTGTAATGTCACACCAAATGATGTGTTGAGAGGCCAGGGTTTATTTCTTAGATTTTAGTTTCTTTTAGAACTTTTCAGTTATTACAATAAGATCAAAACTTACTTTGAGTATGATTCAGAAACAAAAATGTTGGGTGTTCTGACCCATCTCTCAGGGCCTGACGTAGAGTTTGAGCGACAGTGGCTGGGCTCTAGAGCAGTTAAAGCTGGTAATGCAGTCGGGTAACTCACATTCATGCTCACGTATTTCGTTCAACTCCTTTTTCCTCAGGTATGATGAGATGAGTATTCTCTTCACGGTTCTGATTACCGACTCCACTCTGGAGAATGGATTAGTACATCTGAGAAGTAGAGACACCACAATGAAGGAGATGATGCACATCTCCAAGTTAAAGGACTTTTTAATCAAGTGTATATCATCAGCTAAAAACGTATAGATTTTCGTGTTTGTATAATAAATATTCTCTCCTGATTTGGTTGTCTTCGCATAGATTGTTTTATCCCTATGCATTTATGAATTCATTTCACGAATTTGCATGTCATCCTTGTGCAGGGGCCATGCTAATCGCTATATCATTCCAGTTTTAGTATATGTGCTGCAAGAGTGAGCATAAAGTGGATATTTTTGATGCTTTGGTTCATTTTTTAATTGTACTTTTGGTGTATTTCATTGTATCGAGAATATGTCGAGCTATGAGAAACAAAAATCCTACTACACTGCATTAAGCAGATTGGGATTTGTTTTTTTTCTTATGACAAGAGAAGCTGGGTATGGTGGCCCAGGCCTGCAATCCCAGCACTTGGGAAACAGGAGGAGGATCACAAATTGGAGGCTATATTGAGACTCTGGCTTAGAAAGTAAAACCAAACAGAAGAAACCAGGGAATAGATGGTTCAAAGCTGGTATAACTTCATAGTTAGGGATCCAGGTGCTGTCTGTCTTTCTGATGCTCTTTAGTATGTTGAGTTTGTTTGTTTTATTTTTTTCCCCTGATGGTACTGGGGTTTGAACTCATAGCCTCATGCTTTCTAACCAGTCCACCAGCCAGCATATTGATTTTTGTCTTTATGTTTTTTGACTCATGATCACAAGTGGCCACTGGATTTTTAGTGGAAAAAAACATGTTTGGAAGCCATACTCTGGGTATTAGGATGCTCACTGTTAGAAAGAGGCTTTTAGCTTGGTATGGCAGAGCATATCTGTAGTCCCAGCTATTCACATGTTCTACCAGGCTTACTGGAGACTCTTCCCCTTCTGCTGAGAACCAAGGGAAACTGCCAAGGTTTTGAATCAATCCCATTTATTCCCCTTCTCTATTATAAGAATGTGAATGTGGAAAGATTTTTGCTGGGCACTGGAGGCTCATACCTGTAATCCTAGCTAAACTTGAGAGGCTGAGATCAAGAGGATCATGGTTCTCAGCCAGCTTGGGCAAATAGTTTTTGAGACCCCATCTCCAAAATAACCAGAGCAAAATGGACTGGAAGTGTGGCAATTTTGCAAGTTCAAACTCCAGTCCCACCAAATAATTAAAAACTAAAATAAGAGAAATCCATGAGTCTGACATCGAGATATTTGAGAAAATATTCTTCTGGATAGTTTATTTCAACTGTATAGAAGAGGTCATCTGTTTCATTGGCTATATTATTCTCTTGCCACATCATGAAATACTCTCCATAATGCCATTAAAAAACCTGGCATACTCATTTTGGACTGAAGCAAGCTTGTAGTAGATTTGCCCCCACAAAATAAGTTGGAAAACTGAAACCATTACCTAACTTTGAAAAGAAAGGAAGTCAGTATTAGTCATTAAGAAAATGCAAATCAAAACCACAGTGAAACAGCACTTCACACCACTAGGATGGCTGTAATTAAAGACAGGGCTGGGGTCTGAAGAACACTTGCCTAGCACACTCAAGGTCCTGGTTCAATATCACTGAATGGTCCAGCATGGACCATTGAGGATGGCAAGGATGAGGAGGTACCGGAATGCCCATACACTGCCACAGGGATTGTAAAATGGATCTCAAAGCCACTTTAGAAAGAAGTTTGGCAGTTTCTCAAAAAGTTAAAAATAGTGTTTCCTTTTAATTCAGCAGTATATATACAAGAGAAATCACTGTCCACACAAGCTTGAACATGATTTTACAGCACCATTATTCAAATAACCCCAAAGTAGAAACAGTCCAAATGTCCATCAGTAATCAATGGGTGACAATGGGAAATCATTTAGCAAAAAAAAGAATAAAGTACTGGATCAGGTGTGGAAGTACAGGCCTATACCAGTACTTGGGAGACTGAGGCAGGAAAGTCTTGAGTTCAAGGTCAGTTGGGCTACATAGTGACACCCTGTCTCAAAAGAAAAAGAGATGAGTACCAATACATGCTACATGGGTTACCTTGAAAACTGCTCAGTGTGAGGAAACCAAGCACAAAAGGCCACATGATTCCATTTATATGGAATGCCCATAACCCACAAATCCACAGAGATAGAAAGTAGAGTAGTGGTTGCCTTGTGCTAGGGATTTGAATGTGATAGCTAAATGGTATCTTTCTGGAATAATGAAAATGTCCTAGGGCTGGAGGAGTGGCTCAAGTGGTAGAGCACCTGCCTAGCAAGAGTGAGACCCTGAGTTCAAATCCCAAGTATAGGGCTTGGGGAGTGGCTTAAGTGGTAGAGCACCGGTCTGACAAGCATGAGGCCCTGAGTTCAAACCCCAGTACCGCGCGCACACACACACACACACACACACACACAAAAGATATAAAACCCAAGTACTACAAAAAGAAAAATAATAATGAAAATGTCCCTCAATGGATTGTGGGATGGTTTCATACACTAAAAAACCATTCGATGTTATGCTTTTTAAAGGTGAATGGTACAGTGTGTAACGTATATTTCAACAAAACTGTTACTTAAAAAATGTTACATAGCCGGGCATAGTGACACACACTTGTAATCCCAGCATTTAGGAAGATGAGGCAGGAGGATGATGGAATACCATGCCAGTCTGAGCTACATAACAAGACTGTCTCAAAAAAACACAACAATTTAAAAACAAAAACAAAAACACCAGCATCAGTCACTAACATCAAGAGGCAAGATCCAGCATGAAGAGAGGGCAGGACCTGTCTGGGATGTGCTCACAGCAGGGTCACCAGATTTACTACTGCAAATACCTGACAGCCAGATGCATTTGAACTTCCCATCGATGACAAGACACCTCCTTCAGCATAAGCATGTACTGCATGCCTCATGGGATCTGCTGACGGTGACCTGCTGTTTCCCTGAAATTCAAAGGCAACTGGGCATCCCATGTCTGTCCCACAGCCCTCGCTCAGGACCCCTCCGGGAGGCAGCCTGTCGCACAGAGATGCCAGCTCTCTCTGCTTCCCCATGGTTTGGTTTGGTTTTTCCTTCAAGGCAGGTGGCTGAGGGGCACCAGGACAACCAGGGCACAGAGCCAGGCTGGAGAACAGAAGGAGCCAAGACGCTGCTCTCCAGGCCAGGCGGGGACACAGCAGGTTGGGACCCTGCAGGGAGGCCCAGGGAGGAAGCAGCCAGGGTGGCAGTCAGCATCTCTCGGCCCTGCCTGCGCCATGCTGGCACCTGGAGACAAACACCCGGCCTGCCCCTCGGCAGATGGCAGATGGCTCTGTGAGATGTCCTGGTGTTGGGAGCCAAGTGGAAAAGCCCCTGTGAGTGGGGCTGCTGGGCTGTGGCTCTCTAGGTCCCATCTCTCCAGGCTGGAGAACAACGTCTCCCTACAGCGCAGCGCCCATACTGATCTTTGTGTGAGCGTGCGTGTGCGTATGCGCGTGCGTGCGTGTGCGCGTGTGTACGTGTGTGCGCGTGCGCGCGTGCATGTGCGTGCGCGTGTGTGCGCGTGCGTGCGTGTGGCGCTGGGATCGAACCGCATGCTAAGCAGGCCTTCTCCAGCCCTGTGAATTTTTTTAGACAGGGTCTCGTTAGGAACTTGAGACCCTCCTGCCTCAGCGTCTGGGCCTGTTGATCTTTTTGATGATTGATTCTATCCTCGGTCTCCTCCCTCCAGCTTTGTGTCATCCACAGACCTCATCAGAACGTCACCAGAGTCCTGGTTCAAGTCACTAATGAAAATATGCAGTAGGCAAAGTCTAAAAGGGCTTGCCCGGGCTGACCTCGATCAGAACTCTTTTGAAACAAATGTTCACCTAGCTACAGCCCACTGACGGTGTGCCATTTACCCACAATTCCCCAGGAGGGTACAAGGATTCCTCATGGGGCTGGCTTAGATGTCTTTACTACATACCAGGAGCCGTGGCTGCTCTTGCTGCTTCCACAGCAGTAGTAAAGATGCTAATACCACACCTGCTCCAGGGGCTGCTTTTCTCGGCCCTCACCCAGTCCCTCCACCCACTGTCAGAAGAGAGCAATGGCTCCTCCTGAAGGCTCCTCCTGCCCAGCTCTCTGGGCCAAGCAGGTAGGTGCTGCCCCTGAGATGGATCTACAGGTGATGAGGTATGGAGACAACTTTGTCCCTTTTAGTGTCTAATGGTGGTCCAGAAAATGTCCCCAGGTTTTTGTTTGTCCTTTTTTTTCTTTTTTGGATACAGTGTCTCTCTATGTAGCCTACTAGAGAGAACTTTCTAGAACTCACAGTCCTCCTATTTCAACCTGCCAAGGGCTGGGATTACAGGAGTGAACCACCATGCCCCACTTCCACATTGCCTTTCTTTAGTGAGAGAAACTGCTACAGTTTCAGGGCAGGATGAGTGACCCTAATCTGAAAATCCAACATGCAAAGAGCTCCCACATCCAAAATTTTTTTTTACACTTCATGAATTTGCATGTCATCCTTGCACAGGGACCACACTAATCTCTGTATGGTACCAATTTTAGCATATCTGCTGCCGAAGCAAGCACCAGATCCAAAAATTTTTGAGTCCTGACATGACTCAAAGTGAAGCTCACACCTGCATGACCTCATGGGATGGGTCTCAGTTAAAGTGCGGGCACACAACAAACAGCGTATTCGGGGTCCCTAAGGGAAAAAAGACCTGCCCAGATTCCTCCATGCAAGCACACTCACAAGGGTAATAGCAGGATGCGTGCTCCTCGTGGTATCTCACGTGGGGCCAAGACCTCCATGTCTCTTACGTTTGTTTGTTTGTGTGCTTACACTCTGTTTTCAATGATAGAAATTGTTGAAAATGTCCAGAAAAAAAAGTCTCAGGTACCCAAGTGGGTAACGGTGATAAGAGAAAGAGGAAGCAATGACCTTTATATGCAGCACAGGAAGCCAGGCCTTTGGGGAGAGTAGACAGCGGTGTAATGGAATGGCTTACAGAAGGGCGTGCTAGGGACTGACCACCAGCTATGATCAGAAGAATCAGAAGGACGCACTGATTTTTGGTGGGTCTGAGGTTTGAACTCAGGGCTTCCCACTTGCAAAGCAAGCACTCTACTTTTGAGCCACACCTCCAGTCCATTTGCTCTGGTTACTCTGGAGATTGGGGTCTCACAAACCATTTGCCTAAGCTGGCCTCGAACCTCGATCCAATCTCAGCCTCCCAAATAGCTAGGATTACAGGTGCACCCAGTTTAGAAGGGCAAACGCTTGAAGATCTAAGCTGAGAGTGAAGAAGGGAAGTGAGCGAAAAACAGAAAAACACCACAGGGGCTGGAAAGGCAGCCCTCAATGGTGTGTAGAGGCCACATGTCAGCATCACGCAACGCGGGATGCATGATGTCTGCAGATCGGGGACCAGGAAGGTCAGGAGGAGCTGAAATTGAACAAACTATACGTATTCAGAAGGCAGGTTACAGAACTCTAAGACAGCACATGGCATTACATTTTTTTAAATTAAAAAACGTTTTTGACACTACTGGAAAGTGAACTCGGAGGCCTGACCCTGGCTAGGCAAGCACTCTCCACTCCAGCTGCACCCTCGGGCTTTGCTTGTGAATTCTTTTGAGCTAAGGCCGCCTGCTTTGTCTGGCTGGCCTTGAAGCTCCATCCACGTATGTCCATGTCCCAAGTAGCTGGGATTACAGACACGCACCACCATGCCTTGCCCTGCATTTTAAAAGATTTGTGATGAGTGTCTACTGACGCCGGATGGATGGTCTTCTTGTTCCTTGATAAAGCAGAAAGACCCTGCCTGCCGTCTACAAGGCAGTCCTGCAGGGAGGAAGGACGCGAAGCGCAGAACAACCATGTCCCGGGTACCAACGGCGAAGGTGCGCAAGAGGGGAAACTTGCTGTGGTCGGCCAAAGATGTACCTCACGTTTTAAACCTCACGTTTTAAAGGAGTGAATTGTCACCAGTCCATTGCTAGGCTAACACAACGGCACGGATCACCAGGGACATCTTTCTGGTGGTTCCCATTGTGCACCAGAGGCTCCTGCTGACCGCAGGGAAGCCGGGGGACGGTCTCCTTATTCTCCACACCACTCCACACCACTCCACTCCACACCACTCCACTCCACACCACTCCACTCCACTCCACACCACTCCACTCCACTCCACTTCACACCACTCCACTCCACACCACTCCACTCCAATCCACTCCACTCCACTCCACTCCACACCACTCCACTCCACTCCACACCACTCCACTCCACTCCACTCCACTCTACACCACTCCAACCACACCACTCCACACCACTCCACACCACACCACTCCACACCACTCCACTCCACTCCACTCCACTCCACACCACTCCACACCACTCAACACCACACCACTCCACTCCACTCCACTCCACACCACCCCACAACCCCACCCCACAACCCCACCCCATCCCACTCCACTCCACACCACTCCACTCCACACTTCTCCACTCCACTCCACTCCACACCACTCCACTCCAACCACACCACTCCACACCACACCACACCACTCCACTCCACTCCACACCACTCCACACCACCCCACACCACACCACTCCACTCCACTCCACACCACTCCACTCCACTCCACTCCACACCACTCCAAACCACTCCACTCCACACCACACCACTCCACACCACTCCACACCACACCACTCCAACCACACCACTCCACTCCACTCCACTCCACTCCATTCCACACCACTCCACTCCACTCCACTCCACACCACTCCACACCACTCCACACCACTCCACTCCACACCACTCCACTCCACACCACTCCACACCACTCCATACCACTCCACTCCACTCCACATCACACCACTCCACACCACTCCACACCACTCCACTCCACTCCACTCCACTCCACAATACTCCACTCCACTCCACTCCACTCCACTCCACACCACTCCACTCCACACCACACCACTCCACTCAACTCCACTCCTCACCACTCCACTCCTCCCATCAAATGTGAACATAGAAGGTCATGTAGCTTTAAAAAAAATGAAAAAAATGTTGAGAAGTATAGAAGAGGGTTGGGGACGGACCTAGGGGGTCCACACCGCCTGACACGTGAAAGGCCCTGGGGTCAACCTTCAGCACTGCAAAAATAAAAACTAAAAAAGCACAGCAGGAGCTCTAAACGAGCAAGCACTCTGCTTATGAGAAGCGGGTACTTGCTCTCCGTTATGCGGCACAAGTGGTAGCCCTTTGAACATCTGTCTCACTTTCAGTCATCCTGCTCTCCACATGCCCAACTTATGACAGGTTTTGTGCTTTTCTTTTTTTTTTGGAGTGAAAATTTATATGGACACTAAGAAGCAACTCTGCAAACATAATTCAGGTATCAAAAAACACGCATGCTGTGTTAAACATGTGTTTTGATGGCCGTGTTGGCTTTCTGTCCTGTGACAAAATGCCTGAAACAGTCAAAAGAGGAAAGGTTAGTTTGGTTCACAGCTTCAGAGGCTTCGGGCCGAGGCTGGCTCCATTGGCACCTCAGGCGAGGCAGAAATCACGGCAGCTGGAGCCTGTGCTGGAGGAAGCTGCTCACCTCATGGGGCCAGGGAGCAAAGACAGGGGGAGGGGCTGGGACAAAATACTGTCCCAAAGGCACACCCCAAGGATCCTCTGACTTCACCCAGGCCCCACCCCCTAAATTTCCAATACCTCCCCTAGTCCATCAAATTAAGAACCTGTCTTTGGATTAATCCATTGATGATGTCACAGCCTCATCTTCCAACCTCCTCCCAACAGTGTCACCAATGAATACTGCTGCAGCGGAAACCAAGCCTTCAACCATGATCCTCTGGGGACATTTCAGATCCAAACCATAAAAATGGCTCCTACGGGAGCATTGTTTCCAAAGTGAAATTCAATCCCCGTTTCAGTAGCTGTACAGCAGTGCTGCTCAGATGCACATTTAGGGTTCAAGTGTCTTCCTGCTGTGGAGCTGCCACCTGTTCAAAAGCCTGCTCACATGTACACGTGTCCCTGTGCCACACGTGTACATGTGTGTGCACACAGCACACATCTCTATGGTTTGCTAGACGTTATTTCATTGCACTGATCATTTTCTTCCCAGTGCAACTAAAAACATCAGTCCATAGTGCGTTATGTAGTCCAGGCTGGCCTTGAACTTGTTATGTTGCCCAGGCTGGCCTCACTCCTCCTGCCTCAGCCTCCTGAGTGCTGGGATTACAGGTGTCCAACACCACGCCTGGTTTCAGAACCTTTCTCTCTAGGTTGAGAGTCACTGTCCAACAATTAGATTTTTCATTCACTAGGTAGTTTGATAGGGAAAAGTTTATTTGATCCAATTCTGTCATTTCCCAGGTCACCTGCTTCCTGTCTCTGTACCTTAGGTCTTTGGCCATATTCCTTTTGTCCTGAAAGAGAAGCCTGTCCTGGATCTGTTCCCATAAGGAGAGCTGGAAAACGACAACTACACTCAAGCTTGAAACGAATAGAAGTCACCAATGTTTCTTTTCATTGCCTAAGACATGTCCCCAGCTGTACTGTATCTGAGATGGGAGCCACTCCACACTTCTGTATGGAAATGGGGTCCCCAAATGACTCTATTGTTATTCTGGAGTTTCCCAACTAACCAGCAGTGATCGCTGAACAGTGACGGGATGCTGAATGACACAAAGGAAAGAAAAGGTCAGTGGGACTGGGCCCATGTATCTGACCGTGCATTCCTCCTAACTTGGTCAAGTACTGTAAACAGCAGTACAAAGAAAGCACCAGCAGGGGGAATTTGTAATCACATAGTCACACCCAGCTCTTCATCGGGTCACACGCTAAGCAGAGCTCATCAGGTGGACTTAGTTTACACAGAGACGACGTGGCAGGCACTTTCTTTTTCTTTTTCCACTGTCCAAATCCCCAGCCAGCCTGAGTTGCAGGCAGCCTTCCCCTCTTTCTCTTAGGAGACCTCACCGAGGAGCAGAGATCAGTTAGACCAGTCATCTTAAGCAAGCTCATCCAGAGCCTCGGGTTTCCTTAGTTGGTCAAGAAAAGGAGGAAGTTCTCGAAGGGACTCGCCACCATCAGTGGGCCCAGGACGACCCCTCTTCGCTGAAGAGAATGTGGAGCCATCTGAACACACTGTTCTTCGGGGGCATTTTTCCTTTTGTCACATGTAAGTCCACTCGTCACTCTGGGCCGTGAGTCCTGTCGTGTGGAAGTGAGCTTTCTCATGTGGCTTTTTCTCTCTCAGTTCTGACAGCTGCCTGGGATTGCGAGATCATGAGCAGAAGGAATGGTGAGTTTCGCTAACTCCTCTCTGACTGAAGCCTTTCTCATGGAGATCGTGAGATGCCGGCTCTAACTGTTCCTTTGTAGCTTTCTGGGCCTTTGGATGAACAAGCAAACAGCGAGGTCTTTCCAGTTGCCTACTGTTAAACTGATTTAGCGGAGCGGGGAATTCTTTCTGAGACTCAGTGACAAAATATTAAGTTTGGGTTTTTTGATTTTTGCAGTACTGAGGTTTGAACTCAGCCTCACATTTGCTAGGCAGGTGCTCTACCACTTGAGCCATGCCAGCCTCGACTGCATTCCTCTTACCTTTGCCTTCCGTGTAGCTGGGCTCATTGGCAAGGACCACCATGCCTGACCTATTTATTGAAATAGGGTCTCACTAACTTTTTGCCCCAGTTAGCCTCTAATCACAATTCTTCTGAGTTCTGCCTCCCGAATAACTGAGATTACAAGAGTGAATCACCCTTTTAGACCTTTTCTAGCTGGACGCTGGTGACTCATCCCTGTAATCCTAACTACTCACGAGGCAGAGATCAGCAAGATTGCAGTTTGAAGCCAGGTGGGGCAAATAGTTTGCGAGACCCTATCTTGAAAAAACCCATGGAAGAAAAGGGCTGGTGGAGTGGCTCAAGGCGTAGGCCCTGAGTTCAAACCCCAGTACCACAAAAAAAAAAAAAAAGCCCTTTTCTAACGTTCATAACGTTCATATTGTTTTTCAGCTAGAATGCCCACACATAATGATCGTAAGGTAATTCAGCCCGTATGTATTGGGAGGTAGTTCTACTGTTGCCAGTTGACAGCCTGGGCGTGTGGCCTGACCACCTTAAGCTTAATTTCTTTGATGTGTGAGGTGGGAATGATAAAAGCGCCTGCCTGGAGGGTTGTTGGTGGGATCGAATGAGACAACCCATGCATGTGCCTGACATAGTGTAAGCCACCAAATCGCTAGTTAGTATTCTTGTATAAAATTGAAAGTGCTGTTTGTTACACTTCCTCTGGTCTTGCTCCCTTTCTGCTTCCAGAAGCAACCACTAGTAATTAACTTTTTCTATTCAATATCATAGTGAGGAAAAGAAAAAAAACAAAACAAAACAACTCATTTCTTCTTGGGCACCAGCAGCTCATGCCTGTAATCCTAGCTACTTGGAGGCAGATGTAGGCAAGCTCACATCTTTAGGAAGTCAGCCCAGGCAAATAGTTCTCAAGACCCCATTTCCAAAATAACCAGAGTGAAATAGACTGGAAGTTTGGCTCAAGTGGTAGAGTGCCTGCTTTGCAAGGGTGGAGCCCTGAATTCAAACTCCAGGCCCATTAAAAAAAAAAAAAGAAGCATTCTTTTTTCCTTCCTTTCTTTCTGTTTCTGTGTGACATGGGAAATGAACCAAGGGCTTCACACACCCTAGGCCAGCCCCAAGAGATTATGAATCAATCAATTCCAATGGACTATAATATGAAATTGAATTCAAGTGAAAAAATGTAAAAAAAAAAAGTGAATAAACCCCAGACAATTGAGATAATTTGAATGCTAAGTACATATTTGATTATTTTTTTTTAATTTCAACTTTTACGTTGATAATGGTATCATTATACAGATTCTAAATGTCCCACAGCCAAAGATCTCCAAGACACCCAAGGAGCTAAGCAAAGCTGGGTGTATGGTGGTGTTTCCATGCAGGAAACATACATTATGGAGAAATGGGGACACCCAGAAGGAGAGCATTCCAGGCCTTCTTGAAGGAGTTGCACTTCGAGGAGACTTGGCAGAACTGGAGTTTGAACTCAGGACCTCACGCTGGCTAGGCAAGGCTTTACCACGCCAGCCACACTCCAGCAGGAGATTCAAAGAAAGATAGCCCAGCAGACTTTCCTCTGATAGGAAGTGGGAGTCATTTGGGGATTGTTCATTTAGCAATTCTTATCTAAAGGCAAGAAAAAGAGGGAGGGTAAAGCTGTTGTAAAGTCAAACAAAAAAATGGACACAAGTCTGCAGTAACCTGATTTTTATCTGGGAATAGGCAAAGAATAGGACTCAGTCTGGGACACACGCACAGGTCGGAGTGGCCTCTGCTTTTCTGAGGAACAAATGGAAAGCTGGGGTCCACTGGGGAAAGAGAAAACTTCCCAGAGGTGTTTTGAAAGAAAGCTCACTGGCGCTTGTGGCCCTGGGGGACAGCTGCTGAGCTGTTTGGTGACAGGCTGCAGAGGTAAAACCAGCCTTACAGTCACAGCCAGCTGTTTCCAAGTAGCTGCTAAGTAAAGTTAGTGTTCACATCATGGCAGGCTGTTTCTCTGGCTGGTCTGCGGGATGCTGGAGCAGTCCCTGCCTGACCTGAGTGTTTTGCCCTGTGGCCCATGGACTCCACGGTAGTGGGGGTGACAGGAATGACTCCATTTTGCCCATAATTTTCCCATTGATTGATAAAGCAGCCACTCATAGTGGCCATTTAGGGGAGTGTTCAGTCAGTACTCATGACAGCCTCTGTGTTTGCACATGACTGTGGAGTGGTCTTGTTTTTGTCTCAGTGCATCACAGCCACAGAGTGTGTGGTCTATGGAGTCATTTACTTTCAGTAGAGGACATTAAGACCTCACTGTGACAGGTCATTTCCTCACCAGGCCTGGTCCTGACTGTCAGTGGTACTTTTCTGTTTCTCAGTACTCTTATTTATGGAGAAAGCAACATGAAATCTGGGATTAGCTTTAGAAATGACTTTAGCTAAGTATGGTGGTACATGCTGTAATCCCAGCATTCCTGCTGAGGCAGGACAAAGCAAAAAAAAAAAAAAAAGGTCTTGGGTTTCTAGTAATGAAAACATAATGCTGCAGAATAAATCATCTTTTGCAAAGGCTTACTTGGCTCAGGGCTCTGTTCCATGAGTGAGGGTTTGCATCTGGTGACAGTCTTCTTGCTGGCGGAGTTCCAAGGCCGCTCAGACCATCACATGGCCAGAGACAGGGAGCACACTGTGTGCCTGTGGTCCGTGTTTCTCTTCCTGTAAGGCCACACTATTCAATCATGAGGGCACCCCTCCCCCACTCCCCCCAGTGACTTTATATAATCCTAATCCCTTCCCAGAGTCCCCACTGGACACCACAGTTAGCAGGAGATTCCACCTGTTCATTCTTCCCAACTGGGGTTAAATTCCAGCGTGAGATTTGGAGGAGTGAACCACAGCAATACGAGAGGCACGGGGTGACAGCATGCCATTGACCAGGAGCTGCTCTTTGTCCAAGCTGGGTGGTGGGCACATGGGTTCATGGCACTGTCTTCTATACTGCGATGTTTGAAATTTTCCAAGATTAAAACATTAAAATAACTGATGGACCAACCAAGCCATCAGATGTAATGTTCAGTCTGGGACTGGAGCTGTCATTTCCGAGTCTTCATGGAGCCTACTCAGGGTCTCCCTAGCCAGAGAGGCACCTGCCACAGGAGAGTTCTCCTGTCACCTCCCCGCTGCAGTCACTGTGAGGAGCCTCTGTGGCCCCAGCCTCTTCAGCACGCTGTCTGCTGTGCAGTCCCTCAGGAACCGAATGTCCCCTGTGACCCACAAAATGGGACTGGATGGTCACTAAGTAATTATCAAAGGCTTTAACAAGGACTTTCTGTTGTGTCATCTTCTTTTCCAGAATTCTCTGCTCCGACTTTGTCCTCAAATACCAGTACGGCCAGCATAGGTCAAAACGTGTCTCTGTTTTGTTCCAACAAGAACAAGACAGTCGAGACCATCTACTCATTGTTTTTACACAAGAAACACCTGGCAAAGAAGGAAGGCCAAGGCAAACCCGTGATTTTTAATATAAGGATCTCCAAAGCCAGTGAGTCAGGGCCCTACAAATGCAAAGCCCAAGTTTCCAACTGCTCGAAATATAGTAGTGAATTCAACTTCACACTTGCTGGTGAGTAGACTGCTTGCTCCTTTAGACACCGGCATCAGTGGGATCCTTTCCTCTTCTATGAAGGGCTCCCCGTGCCCCTTGTAAACACTCTCAGGAGCCTGGAAAGTAAGTCAGGGATTGTTAATCTTTTCTTTTATTCTACTCTTTTCTTTCTTTTTTTCTTTTGAAACAGGGTTTGGTTATGTATCCCAGGCTGGCCTCAAACTCTTAATCCACCTGCCTCAGCCTCCCAAGAATTCTTCAGAGATCACAGGTGTGTGTCAACACGCCTGGCTTGAGATCTTTATTTTATTTTATCTATCTATCTAACTACTTATTTATATTTATTTGTTTTGGTAGTACTGGGGTTTGAACTCAGGGTCTTATGCTTACTCTACCACTTGAGCAATGTCTCTAGCCCTGAGATCTTTATTCTAATAGTACCAGTTCACTCTCTCTTAAAGACTTTTGCTATTTCAGATCACAGTCTTAGATCTTCAGGCAAAACTAGACCTCAACATTTAATTTGTGAAGATCTTTTCTAGATGCTTTATTCTGCCATATGGCAAAAAAAAAAATCACTTTTTTTTCTGAAGACTCAATAAAGAACTCCAGGAATCAGTGGTGGGGACTGGGTAGAGGGGGCTACTCTTCCCGTGCAATCAGGGATCTCATCAGCCAGCACTCCTACTGCCCAACCACATCTTATAGATACTTCTGTATTTCAAAATACTTAGTTGTACTTCAGAATACTCTGTATTTTTCTCTGCCATTTTCCTAAGCCTCTTCTAGTTCAGCATTAGTGACTGCTATCTGTGAAGGTGACCATGATAATGGACTCCTGGAAGGAGACTGAGAATGAGCGTATATATTCTCAGTACATACATTGTACCTGGAGTTTTGTAAACACAAGGTCTCTGATGTCCTGATTGGGGGATTCTCTACATTTGCTTTAGTCTCATGTGACCATTTAAATCTAAATTCAAATTACTTGAAATTACATGAAGTGAAAGGTTCAGTTTGGCAGTCTTGTTAGTCACATTTCAAGTGCTCAGTAGTCACAGGTTGGTGGCTGCCATATTGGATAAGAGACATAGAAAGTTCTGTTGGACCACATGCCGGAGGTCAATGATTCTTAGCTTTTAGGTTGTAACTGTCTTGTCTTAGTAATATAATGACCATGATGGACACTTGTCCCAGCAAAATGCTTATAAGCATTCATGTGTGTAATGTAGATACTATATTTTTGTGGAAGGGTTTTAAAGAATACTTTGAGCTCCCGGTTAGAACCAACAGTCTTCAGGTGTAAACTGAGTAGAAGTCATACTTGTAAGAGGAATATGGAGAAGGAGGACTCCTACCCCCAAGTGTGGTATTGAAATATGGTGGCTATTGTAGGGCACTAACTTAGCTGGAATATTCTCTAGCAGTGGGCAGTAAATCGTTGAATGCATATGTTTTCTGTGAACACATTTCCTGCAATTTGGTAGAGTGAATTTCAATGTCCTATCCAAATGTTTTGGTAGATTATAAAACTATGTCATCTTCAATTAAGTCATATCAATAGGTATCTATCGAGTGCCTGATCAGTGCGAGCAACCGTGCTCCAGGGATTTCAGTGATGCCCAAGACATGGAGTATCCCCAACCCAGTAAGAGTAAAAAGGTAGTAGCAACTCAGGAGGCAGAGATCAGGAGGATCAAGGTTCTAAGCCATCCTGGGCAAATAGTTTACAAGATCCTATCTCTAAAAAACCCATCACAAAAAAGGGTTATGGAGTGACTCAAGGGGTAGGCTCTGAGTTCAAGCCCCAGTATTGCAAAAAAAAAAAAAAAAAAAAAAAAAAACAGAGAGAGAGCTGAGGGTAGGGTAGGAACCATAAACACAGATTCTTTAATCATTCATTTGTTCATCAAATACTGAATGAGAACACAGATGTGCCAACCCTGGATAGACAAGGGCACCTTGTCTCCTTACTGTCTGGGGAGACACAAAATCTATTACCCAAACCAATCAATCACAGGCTGTGTTGGTGTTGCAAAGGAAAGGAAAGTGGCACAGTGGTGGAGAAAGGTAGGGCAAGGGGAGGGACCTACCTGGGTAAGGTAGTTAGGGAAGACCTTTCCAAGGGGACAGTCTTGAAGTAGATCCCTAAGGCTGAGTCTGTGTGCCCACGGCACATTCAGAGCTCCAGCTTGGGAGGGAGCTGGGCTGGCTCAAGGACCTATCAAGAAGCTGGTGTTGTTTAAGATCAGACAAGGGATGTGTGACCTCTGCCCCCCACCCCCGTGAAAGTGGAGACAGAGGAGCCAAAGGAGGGAACTGAGCTGTGGGAAGGGTTTAGACTGCTACTTGCAGTGGGCAGACAGAGAATATGAGGGCCTATGTATCCTTGAGCTAACGCATTTAAGCGGGGCCAGGGAGCAAGTACTAGGATTGGTTTAGAGTCTCTTGCAGTCATCCAAGGAAAAGCCATGGTGGGATGGACAGATGTGGGTCAATTCAAGAAATTCTTTAAGGAAGAGCCAATAGGACTTACTGACTGATTAGATTTGGAGTTGCAGGTGGTGAAGGTAAGAAAAGAGCAAGAATGGCCTCCAGTGTCTGCCTTTATCAGCAGATAGTGTTGTGCCATCCATGCAAGGGGGAACATGAAAGGAGAACAGCATTTTATTGATTGATTAACTAGCAGATTCACTAGAGTTCTGTTTCAAACAGATTATGTACGAGGAAACCATAAGACATCCAAGTGGACAACTGTATCATAAGAGGTAGTAAAAGTTGCAAGAGAATGGGAGCAGGTGCTAGAGGAGTCAGAGGAGGAGAGGAAAGGAAGTTCTTCTGCCTAGAGGATTTAGGAAAGGTCTTACAGGGAAAGTGGCAGATGAATAAGAACAAAGGACTCCGTGAAATTTTAAAAATAGAGCAAGTTCATTGAAGAACTGAAACTCACTGCACCTCCCTTCCCTAGATCGTCATGGCCACGGGCTGCCCTGAACCAGTCCTTCTGCCCACTGTTAGGGAAGTCTGTAATTTTCCAGACACAGTTCCATTTTGCATCATCCCATCCCACAGATGAGCCCCCACTCTGCTTCCCTTTCATCACAGGATGTCCTATCAGTGTGAGTCTCACACAATTCACCCTTATGGCCACCACCACTGGGTGCCATTTGCCAAGAGTAATGTCATAGGGATTTGTGTTTGGGAGAGATGGGGGGCAAGGAAATGGTAAATGACTTCAAAAAATTTGGGGGGAATATTTCACTGTTTCTACACCAAATAGATATTACTTTTAAAAAATCTTGGATTCTGGAGTTGGTCCCGAATCTACTTTTTACCAGCCTGTGACCTTGGGCAAGTTGTTTTTTGTAACCTGCTGAAAAGGAGTTGGTTCATCTTTGCTGCTAATGTTTTGTTTGTTTTTATTTTACTTTATTTTTTGGCTTTTCTGGGGTTTGAACTTGAGGCCTCACATTTGCTAGATAAGCACTCTTACCACTTGAGCCACTCTACCAGCTTTTATCTTTGGAATGCAAATGATACTATTGACCTTGTAGGACTATGGTGAAGGTCAAATAAGGTCATGTGATTAACATGCCTGATACAGGACAGATACTCAACAGCTGTTTTTCTTTTCCTATAATATTATTTTAATGAACTGCATAACAAAACATAGAGCTGCCAGTGTGGCATGGCAGAGCAAAGCAGACCTCTTTATTTCCTGAGATTCCCCTGAATCTGTTTAGCAGAGTTACTTCTGCTTTTGTTGGAGGAAGTAAAACATAACTGTGCAGCTGAACTCTATGAACGAAAATACAATTAGAGAAATTATATTTTTGGAATGAGAATAAAGGCAGCTCTCAACTTCATTGACAAAATCACACTCACGACCAAACACGGTGAAATCTGTGAAAGGCAAGCTCACAGTGAGTTCCTCACGCAGAGGCACACTTACCCTCTGCCTTCTCCGCACTTGCTCTTGCAACACTGCATGGGGTTAGCCACCTTAGCCATTGGCCTTGGCCACAAGGTTGCCAGCCTGACTTCTCAGAAAGGGGGTCATCCATCTTTGGGTCCACAGCCTGGACAGAGTAAGGGCTCCACCCACATCTGTGGACTGAGTGAGTGCGAGGGTTTGGATATACTTTGCGTGTCTCCCCAAAGGTTCTGTGCCAGAAGCTCGATCCCACTGTTACAGGACTGTGAGGTGATACATCCCAATGAAAGGTGATCAGGTGACCGGCACTGCCCTCCGAAGGGATTAGCGTAGTTCTGCAGGACCAGCTTTCTATGAACTAGCATGCCTGGTCCCTCCCTGCTCTTTTTCTTTCCTCACTCATGTGCCATCTCCTTTCTGCGTTGCCACCGTGCTGTGATGTAGCCAGGTGCCTTAGCCAGGTGCCATGCTGTTTGGACGCCCAGCCACCAGAATCATGAACCAAATAGACTTCCTGTGTCTTACCCAGGCTCAGGCATTTTGCTACAGCAGCACAACAGGGGACTACGACAGAGAGTGAACCGGATCGCCACCCCTTACCATGCACCTCCATCCTTCTAGGCCTGTGCTCTGCCCCACTGCGGGGAGGCAGAGCTGGTGAGAAGGGGAACAAGGTGGAACTGGCCCTCCGCATACTGCCATGTCCAGGGGCAGACCTCTGAAGTGTCTGAGCATTCCAGAGGCAAACCTGGCCTTCCAGGTACATTTGTCAAGGGAAGAGCAGAGTAGAACAGAAACTAGGTTTCGAAGAGCAGAGGGACACTTGGGTATTGAGCACATCACCCAGCCACTTCTGGGGAAGACCGCAGCCTGTCCCCTGGTGTCAGTAAGTTCTGTCAAGTGAGACAGCCTACAGGAGTCAGGCTTTTGGTGATGAGTCACAGGCCTTCCATTTACTAGCTGTGTGGCCTTAGCAAAGGCATCTAACCTCTCTGAGCCTTACTAGGATCATCTGTACAATGGGAATAATATTAATGAGATTCACGAGGCTATCCACGTAAAGTGCTTAACACTGTGTCTAGCGTGTACCCAATGCTCAATACATGGCAGTTGTTTGAGTGACACAAATCATGCCGGGGTGACTAAGCCTTTGCTGAAGAAACACCCACGCCTTTCTGGTACTTACGATGCCAGCAATGCTGCCGGCGATTGTTCTGTTAAATGCTGTGCTGCTTCTCTCTGCCTTATGTGATGCCTTGTGGGAGATAAACTTGATCTTGACTTTAAGAACTTTGTGAACGAACAAGATAACCATCATGAGTTGCCTAGGTGATTGTAGTTGGGGATGCAGTGCATAGTGCATTGGTGAACTTGAAAAACAACCGTGGTTGCCCTTTCTAGAACACACAGCAGGTCAATGTCACGGGAAGAGAAACCTATGTGGTAGTCAATGAACACTGTCTTCTTCTAGATGGAGACAGCTGTCCTCTGTGCCTCCCGATGCTGCTAATTCCTGTGCTGTTACTGATGCTACTGGCAACAATCCTAATTCTCATTTTTTGCATCCGACCAAAATACAAAGCAAGTGAGTTGGTTACCGTTGTTTGCTGTGGGGTGGGGTCCAGACAGCTGGGCAGAAGGTGAGGAGGAAGGGAAAGGGCTCAGAATGGAATGGGGAGAAAATGAACAGTGGAAGAGTAGGTGAGAAAGGGGAGGGCAAGTGAGACAGACTTCCTGAAGGACTCGCCCATGGCCCAGTGATTGCTCTGTGACTTAGGTGGCAGGCAGAGATGGCCTCACTGGTGCGAGGCTGTGTCACACAGCCCCACGCCCAGAAGAGTCCCACGATTGATTTAATGCTCTTTTGCCACCACCTCAAAATTCTTAATAATTTTTGCACTCTTTTTAAAATTGTGGTAAAATATGCAGAACAAGAAATTTGCCATTATACATTTTATTCTTTTTGCAGTGCTGGGGATCAAACCCAGGGCTGGCACATGCTAGACAAGCGCTCTGCCACTGAGGTACCCCCAGCCTCATCTGACCATTTGAAGTGCACAGTCGAGAGACATTAAGTACAGTCACATTGTCGTGGTCCCCCCCTGCCTGCCGTCCGCGTCCACAGCTTTTGCCATTTCCCAAAGTAAAGCTCTGCAGCCATGAAACAGCAGCCTCGTTCTGCACCCCCACTCCGGAGCTCCCACTGCTTTTCTCTCTAAATGTCACCTTTCCCTCAATTGCTGTGTCTGCCTGGGTTCACTCAGCTCAGTGTCCTCAAGGGTCTCCATTGGCAGCAGGTGGCAGAGCTTCTCCCTTTCTAAGGCTGAGGACCGTTCCCTTGTGTGTGCGTGGGTGCCACATTGGGACAGCCATGCATCCCGCACGGATGCCCGTTGCTTCCACCTTTTGGGTATGGACAGCAGTGCTGCTGTGAGCGTGGGTGTGGCACAGGGAATAATATTGTTCACAGGACGCCCCTGAACTCGGTCACTTGACACTGGGCCCCCTCCTAGCTGGGCCTGCGCCTGTCTGCTCCAGACAAGAGCCTCACTTCCCAGAGTCCTCACCACGTCTGTCCCTGCGAGGAAGCTCAGTGCCTGACAGGGAACAAGCGTGTCACCTCTCTTCTGCCCTAAGTGCCACATCTGGCAGCACAGTCTGCAGTGTCCCCAGGAGAAGCCTCAGTTGCTGCCCTGCACTATTCCCCTCTTATGACATCCTCAGTGAAGATGTCACAGTGGACCTGTCACTTGGCGCACACGAGTGAAGGAATATCAAGATTGTCTCAGCGCACAAACCAGCCAGCCGAGGCCTGTTAGACGGGCTCCTCTGTCTGGCTGAGCCTCAGTGTTCTGGGCTGTGGAACGGGCTGGTGTGGAGGTACTGTCAGAACCCACAAGGAACTCAGTGACAGATGTAGCCCTCATCTCCAGAAGGTTAAACTTGGAGCTGTCAGGCCCTCAGATGACACAACACTTGAAGCACAGCTGGGGATGTAGCTCAGTGGTAGGGTGTGTGCTTAGGTTGCCTGAGGCCTTGGGTTCAATTCCTTGGACCAAACCCTCCCCCCCACTTATACATCTCATGCATTTTAAAAGATGTCTCTCTTTCCTACAAAACACCTGGGTTCTTGCCTAAGAGGCATTCGTGTTTTGATTACTGCTGAGGTAGCCCTCAGCTGCGTCATTACTCTGTGGAAGATATCACACAGCCTCTCATAGAACGTTCCCTGGGAATTTCCAGTGTAATCTCAAAGGCAAAGAACATTCCTCACAGGGCAGGGTCAGGGGGTCCTTCAGGAGGGTCCTGGCTGGGAGAAGCAGGTGCTCTAGACGCATCTATGGCTCTCCCTCCTTAGACAACAGTCGAGGCCCTTGAGCAGGCTGCTTTCAGATTCTGTATCTTGGCAGAGGAGAGAAGGAAAAAGTGACTGAATTGGTTCCATTGAATGCTTCTGTACCAATTCCTGTAGGAAAAGCTATGAGAGAAAACAGACCCAAGAGCCCTGGAGATCTTCCCATGGAAGGCGAACTGTATGCAAATATCTGTAAAGCAGGTAAGAGAGCTTTGTTGGGTGTTTTGGTAGGTTTGGTTGGTTGCCTTTGGGCGTCTTCTCTTTATTATTACTTTTTAAATTTTTTGTGGTACTGGGGATTGAACCTATGGCTCATGCAGAGCAAGCACTCTAGCATTTGAGCTAAGCCCCAGTCCTCTTCTTTTTATTTAAATTTTTTAACATTGTGAGGACACATGGGTGAAAAATATGAAACCAGACAGTAAAGTACAATGTCCCCTCCCGCTCCAAATTCTGGTCTCATTTTCCAGGGGCCATAGCCTGTGTTTAGAGCTCCCACAGATGCCTTCTGTGTCTGCTGCCACCTAAACAGATGCTGACAATGGTAACACGCTAACCTTGATTTTTACACTTAGAATGTTTCAAAGAATTTTTATATCAGTTTTTTTTTTTTTTTCAGTACTGGGCTTTGAACTCAGGGCCTACACCTTGAGCCACTCCAGCCCTATTTTTGTGATGGGTGTTTCTGAGATAGGGTCTTATGAACTATTTGCCCAGGCTGGTTTAGAACCACCTGGCTTTTCCATCAGTGTTTATGTAAATTTGGAATGATCCATCATACTTGTTCCAAAGTCCTTCCCGGTCACCTCTATCTTCACACTCCTGATCCTCTGACTTCAGCCTCCTGAATGCTGGGATCATAGGCATGTATGCCCAGTTGGCAACCTCCTTTTTAAAAACATTGTTTTATTTATCTTAATTGACAAATAAAAATTGTATTTATTTGTCATGCATAACATGGCTTTTTAAAAAACGCATACACATTATTTTTGTTTTGTTTTTGCAGTGTGGGGGATTGCACCCAGAGCCTCACACACATTAGGCCCGTGCTAGTGACAGCACTAAAACCTGCTCCGTATCGATTTTCAGGAATCCAGTGCCTTGTTGTTAACTCCAAGCACCATGTTGTACAATACACAATCACCTCTCAAAGCAGGCATCACACTCAGGCTTCTTCACGGTGAAGGAGACAGGGGCTGGCTAACAAGGAGCTCTATCCCAGCCAGTGCTGATGGAGCTCTGGCCACACTCAGGGTGCAGTGCTAAGCGATTCACCGCCCTATGTAGCACACCACCACTGCCTTCCATTGCTACCACACTCAGCTGGTGAAGAAGGCCTCTGTGCTAGGCTTGGAGCCAAAGCCCGCTTCATAGTCCCAAGGGCTATGAAAGCAAGAGCTCCCCACAGTCTCCGAGCTCCAGGCCACTGCCCTCTTGTGGTCAAAGAGTCACAGAATTGACCCAATAACTCCTGTGCCTTGTCTTTTGCCCAGGGACAGGACACTTCCAGGAGATACACTATGCCACCCCAGTGTTCCAGGAGGGACCCAGGGAACAAGGTGAGCCACCACTCTAGATAAGAGATGCTGTTGAATGAGATGCAGGTCCCTGTGATGTCACCATAAGTAGGGGCAGTGGACCCAAGGATGGGATGGATGGGGCCACAAGTTTCCCAGGAGGCCAACAGTAATTGACAGCACAGCTCCACAAATCGGTCAGAAGATGGAGGGGTGGGCAAAGGGAGGGATAGAGTGAGGAGCATCCTCTGAAAGTGCCTGGAGGAAGATGCAGGCCACTACTAAACATTTTCAAGAATGGATTATTTAATCAGTCCAGGAAAAAACAATTAACACTTGGTTCTGCCAGGCACCAGTCTCCTGGAAGTCAGATTTCTTTGTAGAGCATCTCTGGCCACCTAGCCTAAGTTTACTGACTATTTCCCTTTGTAAATTTCAGAAGCCTGTCACAATTGCAAAACTGGTTATGTCTATTCCGAACTCCTTATGAAATGTAAAGAAACCGACTCCATCTCAGTATAAGCTGCTGTCTAGGAAGCTGATTTACACAAAGACACAGCAGATTTGTCGGACACTGAGAAACGTCTAATCTGGTCACCTCAAGTGAACCTATTTTCCACATCTGAATGCTAGATCTTTGGCTCCTCTGGGGGCATCCAACCTTGTCATCAGACAACAGTTTGGTCAGTGGGACCCCACTGGCAGTGGCTGTAACATGCGTTGGGTTTGTAGGTGTGGGCCCCATTGCAACATCATTTTTACAGAATAATCTGAGACCACAGACTCTCCATAAGTGTAACCTGGAGGCAATGACAGTCTTTCAGGTTCCCTGTCCCCAGCCAAGCAAGGTTTCACAAGCAAAGCACAAACCAAAATCCCTATCTAAAACTAGGTGACCTTGAAAATGGGTCTTAAGACAGGAGTGTCTGTGGTCACCAGGAGAAAAAGCAAGATTAGTCAAGTGTGCCTTTATTTAGCTACTGATGTTTTAATTTGCTCTCAGATTTTGTAAGGCTACAAACACGTTGGTTTTGATCTTCATGGCCATTCTATGTCCTCAAGGTTCAGCCAATGCCAAAGGGAAACTTGGGCCTCCTGGCAGTGTGCTGCAGAAGGAACTGCCCAGAGTGGAGTTGGGGGCGGTGAGCTGTAACAAATCAGCATAGATGAGCGTTTAAAACACCAGAATCAATTATCCTGTAGTCCTGGAGACCAGAAGTCCAACGTCAAGGTGAAGGTGCTAAGGGAACTCCTTCCTTGCCTCTTCCAGTTTCTGGCTGGCTCTAGGTGTGCTTTGGCTTGTGGCTGCCTCACTCCAACTTCTGCCTCCCTTCATATGGTCTTCTTGTGGCTCTTATATGGATAATTGTTATTGTAATTTAGGGGCAGAGGCCAGGTCTGGTGGCATACCTTTGTAGTCTCAGGACTTGGAAGGCTGAAGCAGGAAGATCACTTGAGTCCAGGAGCTACACAGTAAGACCCTGTGTCAAAGAAAAGAAACAAAAGTAAGGAAGTGGGGGAGGGAGAGAGGGAAGAAGGAAAGAAGGAAAAAACATAATTTTAGGGGCCAACCAGATAATCCAGAATGATCTTATCTCAAGATTCTTAACCTAAATACATCTTCAAATCACCTTTGTGCAAATAAAGTCACGTTCATGAGCTCCAGGAGTCAGGACATGGACATATGTTTTGGGGGCACCACCATTCAGGGGACAAAATGATTTCTAGCTTGAGTCTCTCTTTCTAGGAGTTATAAGTCCAATAAAAGTCAAAAGACATTTTTAGGGTTCCAGAAAAACAAAACAACTTGACCAGAGTATTTCTGCTCTGTTCTTCATTGGGAACAGGGGTGGTAGCCTGAGCCTCAGTGTTAATTGTTCCTGACAAGGAACCTCTGACCAGACAAATCACAGCTATCATTACTTAGACACTCTGTGGCAGCATCCCACAAAGGCAATTTTTCTTGTTTGTGGTTTGTTGAGACAGGATCTCATTTGTAGCCTAGGCTGGTCTCAAACTCACAATTCTCCTACCTCAAGCTCCCAAGTGCTGGGATTGCAGGCATGCACCACCACAGCAGGCAAGACTGGTATTGTTAGTTTGCTTTTATAAATAAGGAAACAGACTCAGGTGAGTTATGTCATTTTTCAAGGCCACCATAGTTTGGTCAGTGGTTGAACTGGGTGGGAATTCAATCCTAGCAAGCAACAGAATGACCAGCCCTGGGAAGGCCTCTTCAGGGAGGAAAGGGATACCCAGGGCCAGGTGAAGGTGAGGATTTTGTTGGCAGTAAAGCAGCATTCAGGAATGGCATTCCTCTCTTTCTTTGCTGATATTTTTATTTGGTGAAATCAATATATTACCAAGGCTAAAAGTGTCAGTTCCCAGAGTCTGACTGACTGAGTTGAATCTAGACTTGTGCCAATTGTGACTCTGGATAAGTCACCTATTCTATTCCCTCTCAGCTTCTGTGTTCTCCTAAGGAGAGAATGGAACTGTTGTGAGAATGAACTCAGAGAATGAATGTAAGGAGCCTGGAACAGAACCAGGCCCATAATGGGACCTCGAAAACGGCTGGCTGTTCAAAGACAATGGTGCTTATTTACTACTCTTAAAAAACCTTTAAGCCTTTGATGTCATAAACCTGGTGTCTTGGACACCACTGGTTTATTCATCTGCCTTAACCTGAGCTCCCTCCCAAAGCAGAGCCTGAGACAATGCCAGGGAGCAGGGAGTTTCATCGAGCTGATCCCAGAGGGCAGGAGCGAGGGATAGGAGGTGTGAGACAGAGAAGGACAAGCCAACACAGGGGCATTATTGACTTGGTGGCCCTAGGGCTCACTGGGTTGGATTCTGTTAAGATCTGAGGTCTCCAAGTCCTCAGAATGCCCTGCAGAATCATTTGTGGGAGGAGGGTAGGGAGAGGTATTTATCCAGTGCTTCCCATCGCCTACTAATTGAGGGTTCCTAAAAAGATGTATGTGCCAAAGGAGCTGGCCCGCCAACATTAGGACGGTTCTGCCTGGCTGTTGCTTTTGTGATTGCAAAGTGACCAAAGATCACTCAGAACTGTTTTCCAGAGCTGTGGCTGGCGTTGGGGTGGGACCCAGAGGACGTGAGGTGGTACACAAGAGCAAGCAGATACATCTCCACCCAGCTCCAGCCCACTGTCCCCGTGCCTCCCATGAAGTTGAATCTGCCACTGAGTATCCCAACAGGTCCCATCAAAGTCTCCCCAAAAGACTTCACATGAAGGCTTCATGGAAGAAGCTGGTGCATGCGGTCCTTGGGTGCTAAGTGATGTTTCTAATACCCCCCATTACCTACCCCAGATGCCCTCTCCCTCCCCTCAGCTGCCCTACATGGTGACGATGGTCCATATCTTCAGCCCTATAGCGTCTGAGTCCCTAGATGCTGGATCCTTATTGGACCACTTTCTATTGTCACCTGGAATGGAAATATCAAAAGATGTCCCCTCCCCAGTGAACCCCTAGTTGTGTATTGTCTGCCCCTGTGGCCGCTCTATGGATCCACTTGGCAATACGGTGGCCAAGTAGCTGACAGTCACCTGACAAATGGCTTTTATAAACTGATGGTAAGTGCCTCTTCCTCCCTGTGTGCTCCCTGGCGATCTCCACACTTTCTGCTCACCCTCAAGGGCTCACCCACACTCTCTTCCCCCCATCTCCCGACCTCTGATCTTCTGATCTTGCTCCTTCCAGTCATCCTTGGATCAACCATCTGAGCCAGTTGGCACTGTCTGTGAGTCTGAGTATCTTCTACTGCAGACATTCCTCCCTCCGCACAGAACAGGTGACCCCATGTACTGCTTGACGCTCTGCCCACGGGGAAGATTCTTCCTTCCCCTCCACCTGTAGGGCTGCCCTGCCTGGTACCCACAGTGGTCCATTTCTGATCCTTACCAAATAGCAAGCCAACCAAACTACACCAGGTCTGAGTGTCCTTCATCAGGTCTTATGTGAGCTAACAGAGCAAGAGAAGCAGGTGACAGGAGAGCCTGTCCCACCTGCTCTTATGCCTCATTTTCTGTCCTGTGGACCTGCTCAGACGCAAAGCTTCCAACATGTGATGGGCTCATTGTTTTCCCACCTGATCTTTTGAAATGGTAGAGCATCTGGTGGGCATCTCTGGTCCTGTGTCATTCTGTGCTCAGGCCCTGGTCTCTTGGAGGACCCAGTGCCTCCCAAAGGCTATATTTCAAATGGTGAGTTATTCTTTGGGGCAGAAGTTGTTTCTTGATACAGAGCCCAGTCATCTGTGCTGAGGTGTCCACAGTGATTTATTCATCCTGTGTGTCTTCCTCTCTGAGCCTTCTGACTCTTCGATATTTTGCTCAAGCCCTCTTGGCATCTCCATGGTACTTTCCACAGGCTGGCACTGACTTCCAATAGAAGCACAATTTGAACCACATACGGTACTTTAAAATTTTTCTAATAGCCACAATAAAAAATGAGAAGAAACAGGTGGAGTTAGATGAATATATCCAAGTATATATCCAAAATCTTATCATCTGAGCACGTGCCACAGTCCCTGCTACACAGAATGTAGCATTGTTTCTGATTTTACTGTGTTGGACCACCCTGCTGTAGGCCACCATTGGGTTCAAGATTCAATGAGACATCCCAGCAGCATATGTAGGACCAGTTCCAAGTGGCTTTGACATGGCACTAGGCCCCAATTCAATCTTATATTCCATATTTGCTCTGAAACACTCTAGCCCACTCCCCTCTGTGATCCCCTGGCTCCTGGCTGACTCTGCAGCCCTGAGAGAGAAGCAATTGCTTCCCATGGCAGGGCCTGTCCTTCCCTACTCCAGCTCTGCCTTCTATGAAGAGATGAATCTTCAAGTAAACATGCAAAATGCCATGAAACAAATAGAATACTGGTTGCCAGGGGCAACCATCTGGCAGCTGAGGGATTGAGGAGTGACTGTCTAATGGTACAGATTCCAGTTTGGGAAGATGAAAAAGGTTCTGGAGATAGATGGCAGGGATGGGTGTGTCACACCATAAATTCATTCCATGCCACTGAATTACACACCTAAAATTGTTGGAATGTTAAATTTTACGTTATATCTGTTTAGCACAATAATAAATAATATCGCCAAGCATCTGCTTCAGGTGAGGCCCTCTGACAAGGTGGGGGGTGTTGTCCCCTAGCAAGGGTGGGGAATCAGCTTCTGCCTGTCCAGAGGACTCATGGGTCTCCCAGCTTGCCCTAAATTGATAGTCTCTCATTTTCTCCTTACAAAGCTTCTAATGCAGGTATTAGAAGCAAACCAACTCCACATCCACATAATTACCATTGCGCCAAACCTTTTAAGTGCTGGAACGATTGGGTAACCTCACTTTCCCTGCTTCTCCACACAGGAAAAGGCTTAGCAATTGTGATGCCATAGCAAGCTAAGGCTTCTCACCTCCACTTACCACTGGCTATGGAGTCCTTGTTGCCAACTGTCCACAGGGAGTAATTCCACTCCCCAAGACTGCTTTCTAGGGCTTCTGCTCCTCTGTCTTGCCTTGGACTAGACCTGAGAGCAGAGCCT